GAGCCAAGACAACCACCAATTACAGAAAGAAAGCCGCGGCGGTGACCGGCGACTCCGCGATGGTTTCCCCCAGCACTTTAAACCCTGTGTTTTGCTGTTGGATGCCGTGTGCTGTGGGATGTTTTCTGGGGGCTTTGTGGCGTGTGTCCGGTGCATTTACTTGTTTACAGCGGATGCTCGAAAGGGAAAATGAGCAATCTTCTTTAAAGCCCGCTTCCTTATTCCTATAGCCTCCGCCTCCTCACTCCTCGCTTCCTCTAACGGTGCTGGCAGCGTCTCACCGAGCACACTGGTCTCCTTTTAATAAACTTCCTTACACCTTCCGTGCTTGGCAGATTGTAATCAACACGTTTCTATTCATAGAGTTTATTGGCACTTGGCTCTTTTCTCATCTGGGCAACATGCAGCGCCTCCTTGTCACATCCTTAGACGTATTTCTGATATGATTATAGCAATGTCAAGTCCTTCTCGTTAAATACTGTTATATACAGGTAGTATGAGGAGCAATTATGTCATGAAATTGATTTTCCTCATTTTGCTTTTCCTGCAGTGTTACATTTCATGGCTGAACTCGTCTCGATGCGATGATCCTCTGAGATTGAGATGAATCTTCTGTCTACTTGCATTTGCTCTACCAAGTTCATCTAAACCTCAGGAGGACTTTGTTTGCGGAGCTCTTGGTGCTGCCTCTCTGCCTACCTGTGTTTAACTTTCTCCCGCAGTCGGCTTCTAGACTTTATGATTGTGGCGTAATGACAGTCTGCCTTTTTAAAAAGAGGACGTGTAGAAATCAACCTCGGGCAGGTTAGACAGCGCATAGTCTGCTCCGCGCGCCGTAATGATTTCAGAAAGTTGCATGTGTGGAATTTGAGCGGAGTAATGTTTAATGTGTTTCTCCACCCCGGGAGACAGAGATTTAAAGGGTCTGCGGTTGGATCACTTTGCATCACACACGCTGTGCATTTCAATAAGTCAGCTAAAATGAAAGCGAAGCATGGCGGCTGCACTTATTCGGCGGTATGCGCTCTATAATCTATAAACACACAGAATTAGATCGAAGAGTTTGTTTAAAAATCATGTCCATCACGAGATCGCAGTTTATTAACTCATCGTTAACTTCTTATTGAATTTCTGCACTTATCTGCTGATAACTGTGTCAACCCTGAACATAATTTGGCTCATTCAGCCTCCAACCTCATATATTTACTGGAGATGTATCGTTTTGGCTTCTTACAGCGCTAATTTCTTCAGATGCTGAAGCTTTGAATGGTCCCGAACCCGGCCTGCTTCCATTAGGAGAGGCCTTTACATATTTTGGGATGTGCTGTTATTCTACTCTTCAGACATGCCCCCCCCCCCCCCCCTTTTTGGGGTCAAGACATATGCTTTCACTGAGAGAAACCACAAATAGTTTACAAGCCGTCGCGTAGCAGGTTAGTCAGTGTGGTAAATTCCAAAATGGTGGCGGAATGTAATATCTTTGGGTTCTTTGTGTCAAACCAACCACGCAATTGGAAGACATGGCATGAATCTATTAGACCGTGGCGAGGTGTCCTGTCATGTGGGCTGAGTGAGAAATTGGGAAAAAACGGTCAACGCTTTTCTGTTGTTATGCTGAAGTTTATCATCATTGTTTGCTGTCATTGCAAAGTTCCTCCAAAGTGTGTGTGTGTGTGTGTGTGTGTGTGTGTGTGTGTGTGTGTGTGTGTGTGTGTGTGTGTGTGTGTGTGTGTGTGTGAAGGAAAGAAGGCGTGATGGAGTGCTTCTCCTGACAAAACGTTTCCCAATGAATCATCGCTAACGAGCAAAACAAGACGCGCTGAATGGAGGAAAAAGTTCCGCGTTCTTTCTCGTGATGTAGAGCTTTCCTGTTTATGTAGTTTGGGGTTTCTTTCTACAAGAATTCTAGGAAGAACGTCTTCCTGCTCTGGCAAGAAGACGTTCCTCCACACGGGGTTATCTCAGATCTAATATGGGGTCTGTCAGCATCGCTTACATCAACCTAATCCTTGTGAGGCCTGTTGATGTGATCTGCACGGAGCCTGAGAGATGGTGCGTTAAGTGGACACTAAGTTAAGCACTCTGACACCCAGAGATAACAAAGAAAACATTGAGGGATGTGAGTTCTTTCCTGCTCAAATTATGCACACACACACACACACACACACACTAGCATGCAGAAATGCAACGAGGCGTTCCACCTCCTTTACTTTGCAGTCATGTGTGGAAGTCTCCTGTCAGTGGTGCTGAGTCGGGTGGGAACACAGAGACCGGAGTGAAAGAAGGGTTCAAATTCAATTCAATTCATTTCATTTTTGTACAGCCCAAAATCGCAAATTACAAATTTGCCTCAGATTTGCTTTACAGTCTGTACACATGCGACATCCTCCGTCCCGAAAAACCATCACATCGGCACAGGAAAAACGGGTTGCAGACAGCGGCTTCGCTCAGTCGTTTTTACGACCCCCTGAACGCCCTTGAAAGGTTTTAGCTGGAACCGAATGACTGAACCCTCCGGTGTTTGTGAATCAGAGGCGTTGACAGGCGTGAGTGCGGCCGGCCGACAAGGCCGACGGGCGAGTCGGGGTGAAGGTATGCGCGAAGGCTTTTCATGAAAGAAAAGTAGGGGGGGAAGATCTTCCCCTTCGCACAAAAGGCGAGCAGCAGTCCCGCACTGAGAAGCAGCCACGTCCTGCCGGGAGGTTATTTTAGGTGCCCCTGTGGGGTCCTGACCTCAGTGCCCTTCCGAAAAATGCTTGACAAAGGACTCAGAGTTCTTCTTCTTCTTCTTCTTCTTCTGGCCCTGAATCACCAACGCCAGAGGGAGCGTTCACAAGAGAAATGCAGGTGCATGTGCTCCTTTAAAAAGGTGACTCATTGTGGGCGTTCACACCGGGACATGCTGGGAAAAGAGCGGCCATTTATTAAAAGCCCCTGTTGTTGTGGCGGCGGCGTATTCGAAAGCATCCGCAGTGTGCCAGCTTTCCATCGTATGTTAACAACCGCCGAAGATCCTTTTGCAGGACGAAAATAAATGTTCTGGTGCCGGCTGGATACTGTTGTTGACGGGAAGTTTGCCTGGGCTACTTTGTCCACACGGGTGTGACTAATGACCGTCGTGGACAAAGTGAGCGTCTGGAAGTGTTAGTGGGACGCTGAGAATGAGCAAATCGTTGGCAAGGGGGAGCCGCAGCGCGCACACCAAACGGCGAGGTCGGGAGGATGCTGAGAGAGAGAGAACCTGAGATCCCGTGAAGACGTCCTCGATTGAATGCATCAATGACATCACCGATGGAACAATTTTAATTTGCTCTTCATTGGGCTCCAAAAACAATTTGCTGCGAGTTGCACTCCGCTCCTTTTCGTCGGCCATCTTCTCATGCGGATTGCGTGTCTTTGCTGCTTGCGTCGCTGCTGCACGTTAAAAAATGAGTAAGAGGAATGTTCTGTTCCTAAGACAAATTGCATCCCTGCAACCGCATGCAGGCACTTTGTAAACCTTGCATTCGGAAGAGCGCTATAAAAATGAAGTGTATTGCTAATTGTCTTAAACCGCTTAATCCTATTAGTCACGAGGAGCTCATCGAAGCACAGCGAGCATCAGCCTGAGGGCGGAGAAACGAGTCTGCAGTCAGTCGGAGGACTGATAAACAGGCCAGGTTTAAAGTTTATTACATTTATTTATAGCAGTGGTTGGCGGGGATCAGCGGCCTTTTGCACAAGAGCCATGATGAAGGATTCTCATATCTCTTAACTCAAAGTAACTGTAAAAAGACTGAACATTCTCTTTTCTAGCAAAAGTAAAAATGTACTAACAGTATGTAAAGTATTAAAGGAAAGGATGTTCATGCATAGTGTATTGAAACATTGTTATCCATGCTGGTAGTAGTAGTACTTTGTGTACTGTATGTACTGCCGGATAACAGTATCATGTTTTATGAATTACACGTTTTGCTTGTAAATTCTTAATCTTAACCTCCAGCTCTCAGATAAATATAGTGGAGTAATATAAATAACCAATAAATAATAGTATTTTCCCATTATGCTGTTGTATACAATTGGAAAACTCCCGTAAAGTACCTCAAAATTATATTTAAATACATTATTTCAGCCAATGTATTTGCAGCACTTTCACACCATCTATAGATAGATTGACCCGCCATTGTTCTCGATCATCTCAAAGCATTCCCTTGCATAATATATACATAAAGTGCATTACATCAGTACCCTAATGTCAGAGAGTTTGTGTTTAAACGGCGTGAAGACAGATATTTCCCCCGTTTCAGAAGCTCAGGAGCCGATAAGGTGCTAAAGACCACTGAGGGCTCTCTGAAGGACAACCGTAAAACGTATTGATCGCAACGAACCGATTCCGGCTTGAAACACTTCTTTCACCCCCCCACCGCCCCCTCTCGAAGGAAGAAGGGCTTCTGATCATTTGTTTGCTGGTTTTCAGGGGCCTCTCGTTTAAAATAATGACTCAGCAGATCTCACAGTACGCCATTAATCGAGTCGGTGTTGACATTTACGCGGAGCCGCTTTTTCACCTTTCACCAGTGGGGGGATGGAGATGATGTGTGTGGGGATGGAGATGATGTGTGTGGGGATGGAGATGATGTGTGTGGGGATGGAGCTGGAGGATGGAGATGTGCGACTGTGGCCCACTGGTCTGTGCGATGACTGCTGAGTCACTGCTAATGTGCATCTGTTTCAGACAGTGAGTTATGAGGGAGAGGCACAGCATTAACGGCTTGGATCCTCCCCACCTCTTATCATTTTCTCCATCGCCTTTGTGAAAACACAAATATTAGCGTTACATGTAATTTTCTTAGCTTGTACATAAATGATTCTCTCTTCCGGACTAACTTATTGCGCGCGCTTGATTAAAATACAATTGCACCGGCTGTGCGTTTATCGCCGCGCAATTACAACCTCAATGCGATTTGGCTTCAATTCCCGCCGCCGTGCACTCACGCTCTTGTCTTGTCCCGTCTCCGCAGGGGTCCCTTACTCATACGCGCGCGGGCAGGCAGGGGGCGAGGACGCCGCCGTGGACGTGGCGCCGTACGGTCGCCGGTGGAGGAGATGGCTTCCCCCGAAGCCTCGCAACATGGACAGCAACCGGGCCAGTCAGGAGCAGGACCAGGGGCCCGAGCGGGAGGAGCCCGAGGGCTTCCCGGGCCTGCTGTCCGCTGAGGAGACCGACAACAGCTCCCAGACAGAGGTGGGTGCCGCGTTTCGTTTGTGTTTGTGCTTTCTTTCATTTGATTTTCTAACATCCGGGTAAGGTGCGTACCTGTAGACCGTCCAGATGCATTATGGGAAGTGCGGCGCGCAGGGGTTTGACCCACGCGAGCGACTCGGGAGTTGCCCACTGCTTATTTACGTCGCCGTCTGTCAGCTTCTGGGATCCGCCCCAAATGAACGGAGGCGCAGCGCCGCAGTAAATCACGGCAGCGCCCGTTGAAATGTGTCATTAGGCGGAAAGCCCAACACTCCCATCACCTCCCACACAGGTGTGTGCTCCTAAAGCTGCGTGGGAATGTACACACTGTGCTCCGTTGACGTCTCCCCGTTGGTTTCGTTGCACCCGTTCGTGTCACTGCACGTTTCCCATCAAGCGCTTCAAGTTCAGGTTCTGTAGTCTTAGTGAATCACGATATACTCACAGTGCAACTCACAGCAGACCGTCTTATATAAAGAGAAATGAATTTATAAGTCCACCGTTGAGCTTAACCAATAAATGTTCTTGAGTTGCTCCCCTGCAGCGATTTAAAAACCTCCCTGGAAGAGAGGACCTTTCGTAACGGGGAAAAAAACATACTCTTTTTAATATTTTACATTAAATTAGGCTCAGCCCTCAGGTATTCATCTACCTCAATCCCCGTGAGCTCGACCTCGGAGGAACCGCAACAGGAAATGAACCCGCCCTCACAAATATTTCGAGGGGTTAGCGGAGCTCCTTGAGATTAGCAGCCGGGTTCAGGTTCAGCGTTTGTGTCCATGCAAATGAAGTTAATGATTTGCTGAGGAAACATCATAAATTCTTACTCTATATTAAGTGTATCTGTGGTGCGTCTGCTGAAGCTTCTTCATATTTCTCTTTTGATTGATTTTTTCCAATATTACTTTTGACTATTGACATTTGCCTAAAAATAGTCAATTCAGAAGGAAACTGTTTTATTTTGATGGTTCCGACAACCGACTCACGTTAGTTATACAAGACAGTGTTGTTTACTCTCAGCTGCATCAAAACATGTCACTTATTCCCTTGCTTGCTTAGATGAGGACATTGAAGTCCGTCTTTTCAATCTGAAGATTGCATCCAGGGGGAAACATTCAGCCTGCAGTCTTTGCGTTTATCTGAGAAACAGGGTATGTGTTCATAAGAAAGCCTCCGTGGTGGGTGTTTTTTGAACCCTTTGGGCCGAGCCAGGCCGAGCTAAGCTAACTGGCTGCAGCTTCATACATACAGATATTTCATCCAACACGAAAAAAGGAAATAGAAAAAGTCTAAAACTCTCATGTTGGGCCAGTTATCTACTAAACGAATTTTTAAAAAAGCAATTGTTTCACTTTCATGGAACTGAAGACGTCTCTCCGTCTGAGGTCAGTCTGTGTTTGGTTAACGGGAGAACACATCCAGCTCACCTCGACCTCATAACAACGGCCTCGGCAGCAGACAGTCTGACGCCCTGAAGGGCCGTGAATCACCCCGTCGCCTATCAGATTAAACCTCCGTCAGCGCGGAGGGAAAAAAAAGGGGCAAACGTTTAGAACAAGCCGCGGCGTCACATCCCTTTTTTCATCAGGAGGGGCCCGGCCGCCCGTGGCACGTCGGCGGCGACGTGTTATCTGACAGTTTTGTGCGTCCGCGTTTATGCGTGCGGGTTCCGCAAAGCAATCGAGGAGCAGCGTCGACATTCTCCAGATCAAAAACGGCGCGAAAGGCCGCCGTTTGCCACGATTGTGATCGCGTCTCCTTATCCGAGCGCGGCCCTGTTGTCGCAGCTGCGGGCGCGTTGGCACTTGGGAGCACGGCCCCCACCGGCGGCCCTTCCACACAGTCGATACCGGCGTCCTGACCGAGAGCCGGTCACCCTCCCCGACGGGATCGGCACAGCGGGAATCCCCCACGCCTGCACACCGAGCGAGCCCGCACGGGTCCTCTTAGAGGAAACTTTTCTTTATCGGGAGCAGAAACAAACAACATAAAACACAGATTTAAGATAATCCTCTGTCATATTGCAACAGGAGAGACGCCGTGTTCATATCTGCAGTCGAGTGCAGCCCGTCATGAGGATCTATAACCAATATCAGCCTGCCACTAATAGCCGAGTGGTTCCTGGTTATTGTGTTGTCTGGGACTTTCGGGAGTCGGGGGGGGTTTACATGCTTCACTGCATTCACTGTTTATTTGTTTATTCGTCAAAAGGGAGAGAATTCACGCAGCGAGCCGCCTGCTGATTTCCATCCCGCCGCTCCTCTCCGCGTTCAGGCCGCGCAGCGAATGCAAATTGTGTCTTTGTTTGTTTTGTTCGTTAAAAGGTTCCCGGCGGATGATGCGTTGGGGAAGAGATGTTTGCTTGTCTTTATGTTTAAACTCGTACTGCTCGAGGCTGCTCTGCAGATGAACCTGCAGATGTTTAAACCTCTGTGTGTGTCCAGCCTTTAGCTGTCTGACTGAGACATCATCTCCTTGTGGGAAAAGCTCCTTGAGGTTTTCTGAGTGGATCCTCTATTTCCTCAGATTAAAACCAAAGTAAAATGTGGAGGTTTTGTGAACTGTGGGTGCATCTCTACGTCCTTGAACGAGCAGCTCGCCAAGCCAACTGAGACTGACGGCCAACGTAGAGGAACAAAAGAAATCAATACCAGCTGCTTGCGTTCATCTCCGGCTACTTATCTTTGGGTGGAGTCTCACTTCATTCCCAATGAAGCAATTGCGAATACTTGAGTGAAATTGAATTCTTGCACGCTGGGTTTTGGTGTATTTGCTGGTTTGTTTCAGACATGTGACCTCTACATCTTACCCATGTGTCCCCCCTATAGGTTCCTGTGTGTAGCTGAACTCACACACACACACACACACACACACACACACACACACACACACATCACCGGTACCCTTAAACTCCTTCCACTGGCAGGAGACGGGGCAGAACCATGAATAATTGATCGCAGGTTTTGTCAGCTGATGGAGCGCCGTACACATGAGCGATGGCCTGCTTTCATTATTTTCAGTGTGTGTGTGTGTGTGCATGTGTGTGTGTGTGTGTGTGTGTGTGTACTGGGTCGTACTATCTATAGATACAGGAGTGTTACTCTGCAGCTTAATCCCAACACGTTGGAATCAAAGCTCTAATGTGCATTTTTAAGACGCGGTTGCATTGTGTTGAATCACAGCTGAGACCACGTCTCCGGCACCAGTTTTAGATATTCAGGTCTGACGCAGTGTTGATGTGGTGGGCAGCTCAGGACAGAGACGGGGAATATTAGTGCCTGAATCCTCGTGCCGCTTGTTCTGTGCTTTAGAGGCAGAAAATGGTCCGTTACAGGCAGCGATTTCCACTCTCTGGTTTCATTTTACCCTGAAGCTGAGAAGCTCCTTCGTCATGTGACCACCTTTCTTCCATTAGCCTCCCTTGAGCTTTTCAGTGAAGTACGTCACCTTTGAAATGGCCTAAAACATGCAGGGCGGCGGAGTCGCGCCGTCACTCTTTTAAACAGACAAGCCTGCAAATGCCCGTCGCCGTTTTTTTTAATCGTCCCTCGGGAATGTTTGGCTTCATTTGACGGAGGTGACGGGAAACGAGGGGAGAGAGAAGCGAGAAGGTCCCTGCTTCACAAACGTCTCGCCTAACGCAAATCCCAGCAGCATGCAAGGTTTTCGCATCTTCCTGCTGCCTTTTTCGGTGTCCGTCCTCATCTCCGAGGAGCCTCCAAAACATCTTGAGCTGATTGGGAGGAAACTTTGCAGCTGTGCGTCTACTGCTTGTTTTCTATTCTGAGCGTAATGTGCTGACTAAGGCCTCCCGGAGGGGCCCTTTTCCCTGACGCGATTTGTCTGCACTTCAATGCGCGATGAAAGGCTTCTGGCGGTGTTCGCTTAAATCTACAAATTGATCAAAAAGTTAAAGCACCTACGTGGCCGAGGGTCCGTTTGGGTTTCTGATCCTGATCAATCCCGCGAGGCTTCGCTCAGCCTGAAGCAATATCTCTCTGTGTTGTGTTCCAGACCGTTACGGTAGCGGTATGAAATTATAACCCTGAGGAAATAGGAGCCCTCAAAGCGAAACGAGCTGAACAGGAAAGGATTGTGCTTTAATTAACGTTTGTCTCGCGGCCTTTTGACACAGTAGCTCAGAATAATACCGAACCAGAGGCCGGAGCTGCGCTCCTGTTAGTGAGATCGCAGTGTGGAGCACCCGGCGAAACATGAACTTTAACAGTGTTACCGCTCGGCATCTCATTAGACCCGAGCAGGAAAACACCCGAGCAGTGGGAAGCGTTCCTCCTGATCTCGCCACAGGAAACCATGAAAGCAGACGGGACGTTCCCGGCACGTTGCTTATAAATGTCGGGAAAAGGAGATTCCGACTGTGCAGTCTGTTTTAACTGCGGCTTTTCCTTTTTATCGTCATTATGTGATTATGGGAAACTATTTGTTGTACACACAGTGAAATTATTGCATCGTAATGTAATGTATAGTGTAATTTTCTTCTTATTTTGCCTTGAAATGGATTTGGGTTCATTGTGTTAGCTGTGTACCGTATAATAAAGGCAGCACAGGAATTCCTTTCCTCTGTTTTCACCCAAACTTTGTTTCCTACCTTGCACAGGAGGACACAGATCACAACTACTACACATCGAAGACGTACACCGCGTCGGACGCGATGAGCAGAGACCTGTGGGTAGATGTGGACCAGATGGACAAGGACAAAGTGAAGATCCACGGGATTCTGTCCAACACACACAGACAAGCAGCGGTGAGTGAGAAGAGGAGGTTTAGTTGTAGTTTGATACGTAAAAGAGGTTTTCAACTAAGGCTGCAACTGACAATTATCTGCATTCTCACCTGGCCGGTGGATTCTTTCACAAATAACACACTTGGTTCATAATATAATATTATAATACATAACATCATATACTCTAAAATATTAAAGATGAGGTTTTGTCCGACCAACAGTCCAAAAAACAGAGAAATTCTGTTTATAATGATGACAAGCGGGAACCAGAACATTTGTTTTATTTTTCTTAAATAATTAATTGTAAATCAATTATCTCTCGTTTGCGTTAAGGAGAGAGAGAGAGAGAGAGAGAGAGAGAGAGAGAGAGAGGCATCCACGGTGAACAGTAGCTGGCGAGGAGAAAGAATAAAGACCCACATTGTGGATTCTGGTCTTGCACCTGCAGCCATGCCATGATGGATTGACCCGAACGGTCTGATGGGAGCGATTCTCTGTAGCCACTGAGCAGCAGGCGCGGCGTTTCTTTCCAGGCAGTTTAGAATCTGTTCTTTGACTTTGGCTTAAAAGAAATATATAATTTCCTGATTGAATGGTCAGCCAAGCAAGGCAAAGAGTCAAAAATGGGATCTCGCTTGCATCATTATTATTCACATTAGTCGACATAAAAAGGCCTGTATAAAATAATTATCTTCATGATATTGAATGTAAATATTCTAAAGTATAAAATGTAATACACGTGGATATACATTTATAGAAACATTATATGCAAATGTACCAATAAAAGCTGTTAGAAATGTTACTGTATCGTGACTCGCATATGTGTCTATTTTAAATTCTTCTTTAAATCTCTATTTCATATTTCTCCTCAGAAATGAGCAGGGATTTCCCAACGACAATGAATCTTCTTGTTGTTTATAAGACGCAGACCCTGATCCTTCTCTTGCCTCTTTTCTTCTCCTCACAGAGAGTCAATCTGTCCTTCGATTTCCCTTTCTACGGACACTTCCTGCGGGAAATCACCGTGGCGACCGGTGGTAAGTGAGCACTGTTCCCTCAACGGATGTTATTATGGTTTTTTTATTGAACATGCTGTACATGCTCGCCGTATTAGACTGTCCACGATTACGCCCGGCAGTTCAGGAGGAGCCGAGAAGAAAAGCGTCTGCGTGTCCTTTTTCACAGACGTCTCACTCCCGAACCACCGAAAGCGATGGATTATTTTCTTTAGATGCTGTCTCTGGGAATTTTGCAAAGGCTTATCTGGCAAAGAACCGTGCTACAAAACCGCCACCGACCCTCCGACAGACGAGACCGTTAACAGCAAACAAACCACGCCCGACACTCAGCACCATCAGCTCCTCACCAGACTTCGCCTGGAAGAGAAACCAGACCGACGGGTTCTGGAAACAGGAGCCCCTGTGCCAACTGGACATGTATAAGCAGTTATGGGTATCAGGAGGTGTGTGTGTGTGTGAGGGGGGAACCTGGGGGGGGGGTTAGACATGTGACGCAGCAGACGCGTTCGCCAAAGTGTGCAAAGCAATTTTCCACTTGAGTCTTGACGGCGAAAACCACAACACCCCAACCGGCTATTATCCCGTGAAAAGACTGAAAGCCTGAAGCTCTTGGCCAACTGTCTCAGAGACGTCGCGCTGCGTCCAACCGCACCTCTGGAATAATAAAGAAATAACCCTCCGCGATCCTCCGTCGGTGGCAACGTTGGGGTTTGGTTTGAGAGGCCGGGCGGCGGCGTGGAGGAGCGGACGGGCTCGGGCGCCGGCAGTGAGGAGATAGCGTGGATTTGCATTCCTCCCGACGGACGGGGGACGAGGCCGAGGAGGAGGAGGAGGAGGAGGAGGAGGACGCTATCTGCCTCTCGCAGGCCTTTGGGGCTTCTTCACGCCGTCCTCGCATCAATCACCTCCCCTGCGGCCACTGGGCCGTCTCTCCTCCCTCCTTCCGTCGCCGTCAGCAAAACTCACTGTGTTCCTTTTTTTTTTAAAGCCAATGTGCCTTAACCATGCTGAACTTGTGCAGGAAAATCTAATAATTTGTATGATGACACAGCGGCAGGTCTGCTATTCAGAGCTAACGGCGCAGCAGGCAATTCTCCAAACATGAGGGGCGAAGGTTGGCATCCGGCCTCGTCAAACACATGAAGTCTGCGTCGACCTTTATGGGTTTTGCGCGCAGTAAATTAAAGGTTTCGGTCTCAAAAGTCTACGCCGCAAAAAGTCACCTTGAGTTCAAAATGTTTTTCTTGTTTAAGGTTCTAATAGACAATAAACTGTTAACGGCTAAAGAAGAAAAAATGCAAGGCTACTTTAACACTTTAAACTTCTCAAACATCACACAAACATTACGAACTTTCAAATACGACTAGAAATGTCTCAAAGATGAACTGATTATTGGTGATCACAAGCATTTATACATGGAAGTAAACCTAATATAATGTCGTCAGTGTGCTGTACTACTGTGCGTCATTTGAGTACATTTAATGCTACTTCATGATTCTTTTTCATAATTCCACGTACTTTACTCAAGTTAAGCACAGAAGAGGACAACCTTGGACTCTCTATGTTATTATGAAATGGGCCGTTTTTTCCATAATTTGTTATTTTAACGCCACCTTTACTTAAGAATTTCAACGCAAGCCTCTTGAATTTATTGAATTCAAGAATTTATTGAATTCTTGAATATTTAGATCTCTTTTTACTGAAGTTAAACAGCTTCTTCCACAGCTGCCTGTGGCAAGTGGGCTTTTGTCCATGCAGACAACGTCGTGTTCGAGGCTCTGAAACGAGAAACACGGCACGTTGTTGAGGCAGATGTTTGTCCTCTGAAGCCGTAACGGATCACTCGTAGGCTGACGGAGCATCGTTTGCTTCACGAGGCAACACGAAAAACGCTACAACAGAGATCTCATTCAGATTTTGTTCTCAGCAGAAGAACAGCTGCAATAAACAGAAAATGTCCTGTAAATTGTACACAGGTCAGCGCGAAGTCCTTGTCTCAACACAGTCCAATAAAGTGCAGCTTTAGTTGGGTGGGCTCAATCCCACTCGTGTCGTTCTTGGATACACACACACACACACAAGCAGAAAGGGTTGGAAACGATTACCCGGCTCCATCCGGCCTCTGTAAAAACCTCTTTCTCCTCTCCATCATTGCTCCTCTCTGCTTTTATATGAGCCGCTCGCCGGCTTCACCTCCTAAAAGGATGAAGTGCCCCGTGGATTCACCTCTTTGGCGAATTGAGAGGCTGTCAGAATTTCTTTAGACTGTCAAATAAGTCGTGTTGTGTTTTTAGGAGATTGCCGGTGTGCGTTTGTGCGCGTGTGTTTGTGTGTGTTTGTGTGTGCGCGTGTGTTTGTGTGTGTGTGTGTGTGTGTGTGTGTGTGTGTGTGTGTGTGTGTGTTTAGAGCTTTCTGAAGGGCGAAAGGAGAAACAGTACAAAGACAAGAAACAGTTGATGAGATGAACACGTGCTCGAGTTGAACGTTGGGTTAATATGAGACGAGGTGGCTGATTTGGGATCAGATAAAGACGAGTTGCATCACATTTAAAAAGGTGCATTAAACAACGCTGCCTCTTTATTTGTTTGTTCTCTACGACACAATTTGCGTTAATAATCTGAACACACAACCACAGCGACCGAATTCACAGCAGGCCTTAACTTGGTTTCATGCATATAGTTGAAATATATATATATATAATATATATATATATATATATATATAATTATATGTGTATATATATACACACACACACACACGTTCGCAATTCCTCCTATTGAGCCGTGCAGCTTTGTCCACTTCAAGTCACATCTTCTCTCCTGCTCTTCGCCTCCTCTTCTCCTCTTCTTTCAGGCAAAGATAGATTCATCCAATGAAATGCTCCTCTCCCGCTTTCCAAAGTGAAGTATGTGTTTTCCTCTTTATGAGGAGACACATGAGGAGATGAAATGGGGCTTTACGAGCTGTTTGGGTTTTTCGCCTCAGGCAGCGACAGACTGTGTTTCTGTCCCGCTTCCTCACCAAAGCAGACAGGTCCTTTCAAAAGGTCGTGAGTTCTTACTCTGGGTTGGTTTGAGGATTTATTATGGTATTCGGTACAGTTCTCACAAAGTCTACTACAGTCTGATAGTTCCCCATTTCCAGCATTGATTTAAAGGGAATAGTTTGATATAATGTAAATGTCTTATTAACTCTTGGATTGGATGCATGTGCTGTTTTTACTTCGCTCACCATCAAATTTGAATTAATGAGTACGTGTTACGCCGTGTTTTTAACATTTTTGCGCTTCAGGCAAAATCAGGGCGACAAACTAAAAATAAATACACCCTTAAATAGCTGCTGACTCGGCTAAACTTTCCTGTCAGAAGGGAAATTAAGACGCGGCGTAATTTTGTTGTCGCGAAGGTGCAAATACATTCCCGCGTGATGAACGATGGGCTTTTCCCCCCCGTTTTACAGATGCATTAATAACCACGTGCGCAGACGTCCAAACGATGCAGCGCCGGTTTCTTCTGGCCGAGCACGTCCCTCTCTGCGGACTCGCTGCAGGGATGCGCCCGCGAATTGGAAACGCTTCCATAATCCTTTTCACGTTGTCTCTTCGTTAGTTAACACACACCCGCGGATGTAAAACGAGTGAATCGGGAGCGTTAAAAGAAGGCGAGCGCATGGTCGTTTCTTTTGCTGCTTACTCAACATTTCTTCCCTTTACACCTCACACGAGGACAGTTCCTAAAAATGTATTTATAGATTTTAAAATGCTTTCTACCTTTAATAACATTTGATTTGGTTGTAAAATTCCATAGATTTTGAAGACAGTACCCATAAAGAGGGCAAAAATTAACTAATAAACGTTGATTATCTACATGTAGAAAATCACGTTTTCTGAAATCTTCTTTAAACATGTAAATGAGTGAAATCCACAGACGCAAATACGCAAAGTCGTAAAAATAAACACATCATTTAGCATTTAGAAACGTTTCTTTCCAAAATCAGTGTTTGAGTTTTCTTCATCAGGCCCCTCAGGTTTTCCCTGCTGTTTTTCATTTAAAATAATAACAGTGCTAATTATTGGCAGCGCACAGCGGGGGGCCGGAGACAGACATGGAGGCGTTGTGGGGTAATTAGGAGCTTTTATCGCTGGACTGGAGGGCCGACTTCTAGTCTTCCTGAAACCCACTGTACCTGACAGCAGCGGAAAGGAAATAGACGACTGATGTTTGTTTTTACGAGTTTGCTAAAGGTTAAACTCTCCGTAAAACACTTTATCAAAGGAAGCGCGGCTCTGTAAGTGGTGCAATGACGCTTCTAACAAGACGGCAATCTTCTTTTAAATAGGAGCTCAGTACTGACAGTTATTTGTTGTGTCTGTTTCTTCCCCAGGGTTCATCTACACGGGCGACGTGGTCCACCGGATGCTAACAGCTACTCAGTACATCGCTCCTCTGATGGCGAACTTTGACCCCAGCGTCTCCAGAAACTCTACAGTCATCTACTTTGACAACGGTGACGGCAGTTTACTGCTTTCATGCTTAGCAGCTGTGTTCTCGCCATTCTAACACTTTTACGTAATGACGCAATGCAACTTTGTGTCAAGAAGTAGCAGAAAAAAAATAAAAGTTCACTTCTGCTACTTAATTAATTCATCAATGGGAATCACAAGTCAAAATGTATGATTGTAGCATCAAATCAAGTGGCCTATTTTCATCCTGATAGACGGCCGTGAACAAATACTAAAAAGGTTGAAAGTGAAGCTGCTACTAAAGATACGAGCCATCGCCAAGTCTCTTCTTTCACTGATGGATACGAAACCCTGTTTGACCTCAGTGACCCGCCTTTAAATCCCTCTCACTCACTTTCATACTGAACTGATGCACTTCCTCCCTCCCGGCGCCTTTCTTCAGCCACGCGTGAAGCTTCTCATCCGTCACGTCCGACTGAGCGACGGCGGGACCTTCTGCCGCGCAGCTCCTCGCGCTTTAGCCGAGTGCACGTGAGCGCCGACGCCTCCCCTGTTGCCCTCAGCTCTCCTCAGGGAAGATCTCCGGCGAGGCCCACGGAGAAGAAATTGATTAGTAGTGGTCATTCGAGTTACTCGCCTGCTCGTTTCTTCATTCAGTCGTTAGATATTCGGTTCGCCTCGAGAGGTCTTTGGGGTCCCTGGCGGTCTTTGAACATGAAACGCTGATCCAGGATCATGTTTGCATGGTTACTTCAACCATTTTGCTGTATAGTGTATTTTAGTGGGAAACCCTGGTGGAAGAATGAAGAATTAGGGCGGCGATTGATTAATCAAGTGATTGTACCGCAAATGTCAGAAGACTTTGTGGAAAATCCTACTATTAAAATCTAAAACCCACAATGAGTCAGTGTGTTTGAGATTGACCATGAATTAAAAGTTAGAGATTCCTCTTTAAAGCGTAACCAGGTTCTCTAAAAATCACTTAGAACTGCAATTCGCTCATGCACAGCATGAAACAACTTAAACTATTGTGAAAGTTGCTTCAGTTTTATGGCTGTTTCATGTTTTCATATCAGTGCTCCCACTTCAGTGTCTTCACACCCACGACGGGTAAAAAAAAGCAGCAGTCTCCGCCGCGAAATAATCCCCCGAAAAACATATCGTCTCACAAACGCGATTTGTTACGTCGACGACTCCCCCTTCGCAGGCTTCCAGCGGGCGGCGTGTTCACGCCACGCTGGATCTGAGACAGCATAGAGACCACGTTCCAGAAGGAGTGAAACACGAGTCTGTGTTGAATCGAATAGAATCGAATAGCCAGCGGCTCTTTAATGACGCCTGCGTTTTTCCTTTTGATTTGGGGGGTTTCCTGCGTCTGGCAATGAGCTGAATGTGGTTGTTCCCCCTTCAGGGACGGCCCTGGTGGTGCAATGGGACCACGTCCACCTGCAGGACAACTACCACCTGGGAAGCTTCACCTTCCAGGCCACGCTGCACGACACCGGCAGGATTGTTTTTGCATACAAAGAGGTATTTTTCCTTCTTTGTGTGGCTTTATCCGTCTGTTTCTGACGCCGCTAACAGTCTTAACGAATGAATGAGGTGTTTTTTATTGCGCTCACTACACTATAATGCTGCATTTACTACCTTCTTAAATCAGCACAGTACACACAGAGAACAGCAGCTCACACTGATTTCTGTGTACAGTTTATTTTATTCAGCCGTTTAAATTGCTCCATAATGCTTGTAACATTGTCGTGTGTGTGTGTGTTTGTAATCAGAAAAAGGGAAACAGAGCCATAACATGGAGGTAAACAACTTAATTCAGCAGAAAATAAAAAGGATTTAAAACCTCATCATTTAAGGATCCATCATAACGCCAATAATAACGGCATGATCTGTTATTTTAACAAATTAGAGAGTTGTTGGAGGTGATTTTGTAATTACGCTGCTGTTATTAGTCTGCAAAAAACCACCTGCCAATGACATGTGATCTATTTCTTTTCAATTCATCCACAAAACACTCCTGGTTTCTCTCGTCTCTCGATAATCGATTTTCACTCTTTCGCCCTTTCAGATCCCCACCGAGGTGTCGCAGATCAGCTCCGTCAATCACCCGGTGAAGGTGGGCCTGTCTGACGCCTTTGTGGTGGTCCACAAGATCCAGCAGATACCCAGTGAGTCTCCGAATCACCTCACACGTGCTCACAGCTGACCTCTGTGTGAAAATGTGTTTAAATGAGTTATTAGGGATGAAACGGCATAATGTTCACGGCTCTCCCCCTTAAACACAAGAACTGTTTCCATGCCCTCCGCTGCGCACGGATCATTAACTCTCAGCACGGGGTTATTTAGCAGACTGGGTACATTGTCCCGGCAGCTTGTCATTTACCCTTTTTTGAGCTTCGCCTCGTAGCTCAGAGTTCAGCCTCGTCTTGTTTTGCTTCCTCTCGTGGACTTTTGAGTCACCGCAATTTAGCCACATTAACTTTAAAGCAAATGCGAGCGTCCAAAAGGAAAATCTTAGTCGGTCTCTCTCTCTCTCTCTCTCTCTCTGTCTCCCTCTGTGTCTCTCGGCCGTGACTCAAAGTCTGCCGCATTAATGAGTTGTCAAATGTGATTTATTCCATTATTTAAACTCTGTTTTGATTGCGTGTGCGTGTGTGAAACCCAAAGTTCAAAGTTTATAACTTATAATCCAGCACATGAGGGAGATTTCATTTTCATCCTCCACTTGGCATCTTCATTTTGAGTTGGATAGGGAGGATTTACTACGCCAGCAAATGAAAGCTGCTCTTTTATAGCGCTCACCTTGAAGCCCCTCTTGGGTTGACAGCATTTCTCTATGTTGCCTTCGTTTTGGTGTTTTTTGTGCTTCCGGCATTGTATAGTCTTTACATCTGCAGAACGTTCGCCGCTATTGTACTTCATTTGGATTTTTTGAAATGTGATTTTTAATTGAGTTCCCAGCTAATGTCAGCAAACACAAACGCTGTTGAACCCTTTCTTTCTTTAAGTACAGATTCTGCAGAAATCATCATCTGTTGTCTTCAATGAATAGTCAACTGCTAAGATCCAGTCACTGCAAACCGAACCAGACAAACAGAAGAGACTTTGTTTTTTTGCTGTGAAACCAGCAGATGCTGTTTGCAAAGTGCACAGGTTCATGTTCAGCAAAAGGGCAGCATTCGCTTTCTCGCGCCTGTCCGTCAAACAGGGCTTGAATTGGCACGTGAGCTGATTCAGCAATGGATGCACCAGAGGTTCAGCTACGAGCACGCGTACACTGTATGCATTATCATCAGTGACAGTGAGTTATTCTTAAAATGACGCCAGTGCCACATAAATCCTCTCATATCATCCTGCCTGTGTCTGGATTAATAATTTAATAACACCCAGCAGGAAGGTGCAAATACGGCCGCTATTGATCTCACACGAATATCAATTCAGGTTTTTGTTTTCAGCTCTTTCACAGTAGATCTCTGTTAAAGAAGGAAACGTTGTGATTAAATATGTTGGGAGGAATCGACCCGCCGAGAGTTTAATCATGAGGTCAAAGAGGTTGATTGAACACATTGTTGTGTTGCATTGCCTGATGAGAATACACCTTCCCTCCACCGATCTATAACTCAATGTCTTCAAATCATATTTCTATTGATTTACATGCAGTTTTCCTATGAGGATGAATGCGCATTAAGATGCCGTCTGGTATTGTGATTCAGTCAAAGCGAGAATGCAAACACGTCTTTCCTTTATATTTCACAGCTTAAGAGTGTAATAAAATGTGCGAGTGTCTCTTACCTGGATGGGATTTTATTTTGAATGTGGGCTAACTGACCCGTCTGAGCATAAATTGCATCCTTATCCTCAGGTCAGTCAGAGCTGATCAGCTCTGATCGGTCGTCCGCTGCGTAATCAAAGCACGCGGGTCGGCAGGCGAACAACATCCTGTTACACGAGAAACAGAACCCTGTTCTGTGACGCTTCATTAAACCAAGCGAGGGGGAAAAAAACAACCTTAAATCTGTAGGCTTTGTTTTTTATTGTAGTTGTTCCAGAGAGCTGTATAGATTTCCTCATCTTACTAAAGGGATCATGAATGACACTCGTATGTGATACGTTATGTGTTACACAGCCACAGTCTGCTCATATTGGATTTTAAGTCCGTAGCTCATTGGTCGAGCAAATACAACCACTACAGAAAGTGTGTCGGCTGCAGTGCATCTCAGTGATTTATTCTACAGATGTACGTCCTGTTCCTGGAAAGTCGTTTTAACAATCCAATCAGGGTTTTTGATTAACTACAGCAGCAAGGAGTTATTATCGGATTTGTTTGTATCCAGCGCAGGATAAAAAAAACCTTTTGGTTTGTAACAAAGGCTGTTTTTCATCCTCCGCTCTTTTCCATTCCCGCCGATGGGAGGGAAGATGCGCTGTAAGCAAAAAGCAGGCGGCCAATTTCTGAGCTGCCCCGCGTGAGTTATAAAGGCCAGAACGGGCTGAGAGTCAATGATGTTCCTAATCGATCGCTCCCATCGGAGGATGTGCCGCTACAGATGAGTGGGAAGCCGTCCGATTGATATCAGCTCGCTGGGGGAAATTGCTGCTGTCCGTTGGCAGATTGTGAGCTGATGTTTGTGCACGATGGGAGTTGAGAAATAAAGCGTCCCGTGTGACCCGATTCGGCCTCTGGCTGACCTTTCCTCTCTCTGCGAGGGGGCCGCTTGTTTGTTTGTTGTTTTTTTCGTGGCGGTAATCCTTCGCAGTCTCACTCGATCTCTTGTTTCTCCTTCGCCGCGCAGACGTCCGGCGGAGGACGATCTACGAGTACCACCGCGTGGAGCTGACGAAGACCAAGATCACCAATTCCACCGCCGTGGAAATGATGCCTCTGCCCAGTAAGAAGAAGCCACTGTTTGCAGCTAGTGCCTCGTGTAGAACCTTCTCCTGGGACCTTTTTTTCAAATGGGGGGATTGTTTGGGGGATTGGGATCCCCCCCCCCCCCCCCCCCTCCTCCTCCTCTGCAGCCTGTCTCCAGTTCACCAGCTGCAGCTCCTGTATCTCCTCGCAGATCAACTTCAACTGCAGCTGGTGCCATCGCCTCAACAGGTGGGACATTTTTAGATGCGTTTACTCGCCGCGCCACTTTTTATCTCGTTCCCCCCCCCGCACTTCGAAATAAAGTAAATAGCACTTCAAAATAAAGTAAATAGCGCTTCAAAATAAAGTAAATATCAGAGCTGCCAAAGAAGTGTTTGCGTTCCTCACCAGAATTGTAGTTTTCTTTCATTACGCAGAAGAGAAGAGACCTTTAAGAAGGTTTCACCTGAGAAATCAAGAGATGTTTTCTGTCCTGATCTTCAATGCTTCATGCATCAAACATGAATCTGCCATTCGTTCATTTGTGACTCATAATTCATTGTGTTGGGGTTGTGGACCGTATGGGTGTGCAGCACACTCGCTCGGCATTTGTACAAAAATGCCAAATTAATTTACAGCGTATTGACGCCTGTCGCGGTGATCTCATTAAGCTTTTGTTTTAATGAGCTTCCTCAGCATGTTAATATCTGACTTTTCATCCCTCCTCTGCCCTTTTGTATCCTCCCGCCGCTTCCTTTGAGAAAAGGCAGAGTCGCTTTAAACGGGCGCTAATTAGGAACAGAGGCCGGCCCCCCGTTGGCTCTGGGGGGGGGGGCGGTTTTAAATGAAAAAAGGATAACCCCGATGAACTCGTTGCTCGCTGAGCTTCGGGGCAGGTGAGAGCTGAGAACTCCTGAACTTCTTCAGTTCGGCTTGTTGTGGCTGACGCGTGGTGGCTCAATAAAGCACGAGGGACGTCCCGGCGGATCCACGGGGGGGCTCGCAAGTGTCTTGGTCCCCAGCGTTTTTAAGGGACTAGAGGGACAGCTGGTGAGCCTGAGAAATAGTATCTGGTAGAAAATGACTGGCCATTCAGGAGACAAATATTAATCTGTCTCATTCGGGAGGAAATTGTTGCAGCAGAGTTTAGTGTCGAGGAATCGCTTCATCGTGAGCTCATCGCTCTTTCACGAGCTGCAGCCTCTCTGCTCGGCCATCGGAGATGAATTCACTTTGTTTACTCGAGTAAATTGGAAAATGTAAGTGTGTAAGAATTCTATGTTACTAGTTACGTTTAATATGTAGAAGTCCTGCATTCAAAGTCTTATAAGATAAAATGGACTTAAAGTAAAACAAAACTGATAGTTTCATATATATTCTAAGATGGATTCTTATTGTGTAGGTATTTATAGCTATATGTAAAAGAGCTTTTGGAGGAGCAGCACTTCTGTACAGTGCAAATGTTTCAAACTGTTTAACTTATTTTAAGGTGGCAGTAATTGTGAAAAAAAAGTCAAAACGCAAACCACAACAAACATCCTAAAAATAACTGAATGAACTATGAGAAAGCATCGAAGTGGGAATGAAACGAAAGAAATCGTGAGCTCATTTATATTCAAAGGCGGCGCCTCAGTCCGTTTGTAATTAAAAGCGCCGCGGCTCACTGGGACGGAAGCCATTGGGAGGAAACAAAGCCCCGGCCCCCCGCAGGGACAGGTTGGACCTGCTCGCCCATACTGTGTCTCCTTTTGCTGCCCCGTCCTCCTGCCTGTTGGGGTGAGGGGGGGGGGGGGGGAATTCAGGGAAAAGTGTGGGATTAAGCGAGGAATCCGTCCCGCCTGATTAAACAGATGAGGCAGATTTTTTGTGTGTGGGTTGTGGGGGGGGGGATTAAAGAAATGGAATGATTAGAGAGGTAGAAAGATGGAAATGGAATCCGTTACCATAACAATATGTGCACCAGAGAACCGCAGCCTGCTGGGGGCCGTCTGGGACTCCACCGGTCCACGTTGTCCTCTCAGCACCGTCGCTCAAAGGTCGTTTTCATTTGGCTGCTCTTTTTTTTTCCGGCGACAAATCCTTTGCAGCTTCGGTTTGTTCGTCCGAACGCAGTGGGATTTAGCGCTTTGCATACTTACTCTCCCTCTCCAGACAGGATGCAGCCGGTGGGCCGAGACGGAGCGATGGCGAGGTCCACCCCCCCCCCCCCCCCTTGCGCGGGGGGATTTATAATTTTGACAACACGCTGGATTAGTCGCTGCCGCCTCGATTACTGTCTGCTGCCTTCTGAGCTTATTACTCAACAGAACCCAAACCACAAGTCCCCACGACCCATTGACCCCCCCCCGATCCCACGTCTTCATACAGTAAAAACTCCAATCCGCTTCGACTCGAGACCCCAGGAGGAGGCGAAGAGCTGGAGGGGCAGATGTTTGGTTGCTCAGCTGGATTCAAAGTAGAAGTGTTGTTGGAAAATAATCAATTATTTCGTATCTGTGTTGTGTTTAAGATGCTCTCTCTTCTGCTGCCGCCTCTCAACTTCCCACCGTTCATTAGAAAGCGCAAATACCCCGGGAAAGAAAACTAAAATCAGGGTGGGAGGTGTTTGACTGATATAAAAACTACTGCTAATCCTCCGCACAAAAGGTGCCGCTACCTAATGGAGGTACCAGACTAAACCTCTTTTAGCGGACTAAAGATCTGACTGACAGCTGTTTTCTCTCTGGTCAGATGTTCCAGCGGTTTTGACCGCCATCGGCAGGACTGGGTGGATAACAGCTGCCCAGATGAGGTAAGCAAAGAGGCTGAAAACATAACAAACGGGGAAAGACGGGTGCCCTCATATTCCCCCGCGCACACATAAAAATAAAAATAATACACATAGAAATAACATTTCTTCCCTTTCAGACCAAGGACCAGATGTGTGACGTCACGGACACCACGTACCTCTATCCGCTGACCACCGCCGCCGTCGCCAGAACCCCGCCCAGGAGCAGGGGGGCCACGGCGGGCGGGGACGCCGCCTCCACCTCGCACCCTCCCACCAGCGTCCCCACAGAAGGTGAAGTAGGAATCAGCTGAGACGGGGGCCGCGGGGGCCCAGAGCTTTTGGTTGGCGGGGTGATGGATGGATGCTCCGTCCGCTCTGTCGGCTGCGTCCCGAATGAAGTGCGTTTGCTCTTTATTAGTATCGATGTTTCCCCTCTTAATTAACATGAGGCAGACGCTTGTGCAGAGTGCATAAATATGCAGCGCTGCTCTCGAGCAACAACAAAAAATCCTCCCAGATGGTGGGAAGTGGAGCAGCGGCTGTGTTTGGACCCACTTTTAAACAATGCAGATTGAATCAGGACAAATGTCGCCGGTCTAAAGCAGATCTCAATCTGTTCCACTCGGCCGCCTCGCCATCCGTCTTTATTTCCAGAAGTCTTTTGGTTTCATTGCAGATGATGGATCTCTTGAGGTATCAAAGCTGTTTCCATCCCGTTATTGCTCTTCTTAATCATTTTTCAGGTTAATCGCGGCTTTCGCTTTCCGTGTTTGGGAGGCGAACAAAGGGCAACTTCCATTTCTGGTTTAATAGAAAATTAGTTTGAGCGCTGGCTTTTGTCTCAGTGAGCGAAGAGTGGCTTTGCAATCGGTTTGAAGAAGTTTAGTGAAATTTGCTCAATCTGATCTTCGCTTTTCAAAGGTGCCGTTTTTATATCTGACGGTTTTAAACGTCTCCATTTCTGTGGATGTTGAGTGAAAAGAGAGAAATCTATGATGAAGCATATGTCTGGTAATCACTTGATCTTTGTATAATGGTTCGATAAGGACCTCTGGTTGCTAGATGAAAGCCATTAGTGACATTTCCCATAATTCAGAATTATCATGAATGGTCACTGAACTTTATTTGAAATCAATCCTATTTACCACCTTCTCTTGCAAATACTACCCCACAAATACTCTTTGGATTGTTGTTTTAATAACATTTGGTAAAAACTACAATGCCCCGCTGTTTTAACATGTTGACTCAGTATCATAACGTACGTATAATACATGTATCCGTTTAACTTAAGGTGCGAAATGATTGCACTCTACTTAAAATCTGCAGATGAAATTCTGAAGTCTTGTAAATGAGTAGAGAAAGGAAAGTCCTCTCTGACTGGCGGCACTTTCGCAGTGAGAGTCAGAGGGTGTCGTGCTCCTTTTGATATTGCGCTGTAAAATATTGAGCGCATGACTGGCTGCACCCCAGCGGGAGGCGGAACCGTACTGCAGCATAATCGCAGCTATCAAATGCAAATCCTCTCTGCAAGCGGCCGGCTGGATTCCTCTGCTGACGATAGGAAAACTGCCAAGGTGTCTTTCAGAGTTTGTTTTCCTCCCATTTGTTATTTAACTTTTTACCAAAGAAGTCGAGAGTTGTAAATCGGTTTGATTTATTGTGCCAATGTTTTTCTCCTTTTTATGCCTTTCGAGCAATTTATTCAAGTAAATTGGCATTTTGTTTAATCAGCTCCAGATGTTTTACACACTCACTTAACTGTGGAGTAATCAAAAACACGATTGCAGAACGCGCTCATAGGACATCGGGCGGATGGGCAACAAATCACTTCAGACAGTGATTTTCACAAAATAAAACGTCCCCCAGTGCAGCGGCATGTTTTTTTTAATAGTGTCTGGACAACAATGCAGCAGTAAGATATACATCAGGCTGTGGCCACACACACACACACACATTTCAGTGGGGGTTCTGGTTCTTCCTGTGGGATTTGCTGACAGAAAAATAAAACATTTGCAGACTTTAGCTGTTGGAATGAAGGATTATCTCACCTCCTCAGATGGAGCATTCCAGTGGCGTTTTTTTGGCCCGGGGCACATTGCAAACCATCCAATTTGGCTTTTGCTAAGTCGAGGCTTTGACCTTGTCTGTTCTCCATTAAAAAAAATGAAAGTTCACCGTGTTCATGTGTTTTTTTGGTACGTCGTCTTAACCACATTTCTTCTCATCATCAGCTAATTCCATTTACCCTCCTTCTTTCTGTCACTTCTCTGGCCCTTAGAGATGTTTTCCCCCCATGCACGTCATTTGTTGAGTTTCTTTAACGCCCTCTACTCCTACGCCAGGCAAACCCATTATTCCACTTAATGAAAGGCATTGACTTTCGTCAATAACTGAGGGAGTAGTCAACCTTTCCCCCCCCCCTGCACCCGCATTAATCATCTCGTGCGGGGTTTGAGTGGACACTCCATCGGGGCGGCCGTGATGAGGATGGATGCCGTGTGAAAACTGTCCGGCTGTGAGTTAAAACAGATCAAACCAGGCTGAAAAAAGGGGACTGAAACGTTTCTGGTTGACGTGTGCGGGCCTGAACGTGCGGAGGTCGAGAGGTCGCTCTGCGGCGCTTGATGTGATGCCGACAAACTCACTCGCGCTTTCTGACACGTGCAGCGGGTCGGCGTCCTCGGCTCTCGCTTGTTCCTTCAGCTGCGTGGGGTCAAAGGTCAGATCAGAGAGCGGGCCGGCCGGCTCACAGTGGAGTGGGAGGGGCGGAGGAAGGACATGAGACACGGAGTGGAAGTTCTCTTTTGTATTTTGTGGTTGTGTTGAGGTCAGTGAGGCAAGGTCCAAAGTCCACGTTCAACAGTCGAGGAAATGTTACGAATTAAAATCTCTTTTTATGACATCAGACATTCACTTGGACTGGAGGTTCACGTGATTAAGGTCGAAGGTTCAAAGGTCAAGGTTACTGTGATGCCACAAATCACTTTGTGGGCCATGACTTAATAATAATTGAATTTAATAAGCATTTTCATTTCAGCTTTCCATTCACATCGGCCTCTTCCCAATATGTGCAAAGACCACGCCAAGTTAATTAATATTTCTCTTATTCATTCTAAACATTGTAGACCATGTGAGCATCTCGCCACAATATACTCCTCCTCCACCTTTAAAGAAAGAATGTGCAATATGGTCTTTCAAAAATGAATTAAAATCTCCTATAAATCCACTGCACTATATTTAGTGCAGTCTTTTTAATGTCATTTTGAGAATGTATGTGATATGAAAACAGTATCACATGGACCTCTCACTCTGATATGCATCTGAACAGACATTAGGATATATTTTTATCAGGTTTTTGGCTTCTATCCCCAGAGCAGCGATGGTGATCAATATTCATCCCCTTCACAGCGGATTGAATTGAACCACATTTTGAGCGCTCTCTTACAGCACCGTGTCTCATTTAATGATTCATCTCAGACACCAAAATGTTGCTGCATTAGTTCTTAAGAAAATTGAAATAGAAAAACCCCTTTGAATTAAATCGTTCAGTGAAATATATGTGCGTGCGCTGAATTTGCATAATGTGCATAACTGCCTGCTAGCCTTGGAGGAGAAGTGGGCCACGCTACATTTCCATATTTCACATGTATAGTTAACCCCGGACAGCTTTTATGTGCTGAATTATGCATGCTGGACCATTCTATTCCAGGCATTCATTTTTAATCAGATTTTAAGTGGATTGAATTTCATGTTAAAATTTCCACTAATGAAAGACGCCTAATCTCATTTAGGCCTTCGGGGAGTTTTTCCTTTATATTATGACAGCTTCAAAAACAAACTACAAAGACAAAAAAAAATAATGATCATGTCTTTGTGTCTTTGTCCCCTCACAGACGATACCAAGATCGCCCTGCACCTCCGAGACAACCAGGGTAGGTCTCTGTCCTCCACCGCTGTGGACTCCAATAACTGCTGTTGATGTGTGACTTCGCTCCGCCATGTTTTTGTGCCCGCGGGGGGGGGGTTCTTTATCCGCCTCCTGTTTCCGTTCTCACCGATGAGGTACCGGTCCCTCATCGCCCCTTTCGTCTTTTTTGAAAGGGTGTGTGGCTCAATGGGCTGATAAAGACGTGCAATGCTTAACTGTGGACTGCAGAGATCCATTAAATTGTCTGAGGGGGGTGCGAGAGGAAGGGCGGCGTGTTTTTTGCCCAGAAATAGACGTTGTATTGAGTAACCTATTTCAAACGAAGTCTCTGAGGCAAAGCAAGAACCGTGTATGTGATGTATTTTTTATGCTATGGCTGTATTGATGTAGGCCGGAGGTAGAAAAGAAGATAGCTGTACAAATATACTCCTTTTTGTATATTCAATAAAAAAGCAAACATGTATCCTGCAGGAAAGTATCTTGTTTTGCACGTTGCATGAATAACTCGCATGAAGACAAAGGCTTCAGGACCAAGTAGCACCTTTTAGAATTCAGCGTGTTGTTCAAGGTCAAAAGAGAGGAAGACATAAAGGATGAATTTTTACGGTCCAGGTCAAATATAGTTGAATACGTATTATAACCGCTGGGTATTTAACAGGTTTAATAAACCAGAGGGGGTTTCAAAATGTGTCTTTTCATGCAAGTCGCCCGAGATAATGCAGGATTTCTTTGACGGTGGAGCTCTCGCATCAGCGAGCGACACCCGATGTGTCCTCTCACCGTGGTTGCAAACACTGAGGAAAAAACAGCTGAGTGCTGAGATGAGCAACAACAGAAGCAGGCCGCCCTTTCTCTGGAGTTTCTATTTCCAATAAAACAACAACATTGGACCCAGTGAGCACGACGGTTGTGCTCCACTAATGTAGAGCTGGAAAAGAAACAGCGTGGCTGCTTTTCCTTTGCTCTCGTTTTTTGTTATTCTCCAAAACTGATGTGTTTTATGGAGCTCTGCTTTCCGTTTGCTCGTTCTCTAACGCAGAATGAATTCAGGTCAATTTGCTACGGACGAGGCATTTCTGTGTCCCGACTCCATTGTGCTGAAATTATAAATCTGACCAATTATCTCCGTAATTGTAAGCTAACAAATAGCTTTAGCGCTGCTGACGGCATCGGCTCCATGTTGATTGAGGTCGCTACCAGCTTGTAATGTGGTTTAGCCAAAAGTTTATGCTCAAGGCTTTAAAAGTGTCCGTCCATAAACCATCGGGTGACGTAGAGGAGACTGCGCCTACTTCATATATAAACAGTCCATGCTTCGGACGTTCCCCGGTGCCGGCGGGATGTAGCATTACGACGTCTCGTCCAGCGCCACCGAGACGTCCTGAAATTAGTTTCGGTTTACGACCGAAATCCTGCAAAATGAACAACATTCCCATCGGCCTCAACTATTTACAACTGTAATCAATTTGCAAGTTGTCCCTGTGGGCATGTTAGCATTTAGCTCAAAGAAGACTCTTAATTCACTTTAAACTGCGTTGTATTCTGCCGACCCCCCCCCCCCCCCCCCCCACTATGACCCTGCATGGAGCCCGAGGCCTTATTGCTTTAAGGGCACCGTTCAGAAGAGTCCAGAGAAAACTGCTAGCTCCTGCGGGGGTCCAGACCCATCTGCGCTAGCATCCCGCTGGTCCTTTAGCTGCCGGCCTGTTGATTTTTTCATTGTTTCGACACCTTTGCTCAATGTCCCCCTCCCCCGCTAAGCTACTAACGGGCCGGGCCGACAGCCGATCTGGTGTTGCTCCGGCTTCCAGCTGACCAGCAAATGGCTCTTTGAGCCTGTAGCTCTGGCAGATGAACACAGGAGAGAAAAACTCGTTTAATCAGGGTCGAGCAAAGGTTTTTCTCTGAAAAGTCGCTCCGGCGTTTGAAGGCCGAGCACCGAAATGGCGACACAAACAAACGTTTTCTGTCGGATCAGGGCCAATAGAGTTGATCTATTGTTCTGTTTTGTTTGTTTTAATGTGAAATTTATCGAGCGACGTTTGAAACACACCAAATTCCCTGCACCCCCCCAACTTGAGGGTGCAAACGACGGCCTCGCACAGACGCTCCATGCCCACACACATCGGACGTGTTTGATCACCGCCCCGGCTATTCCGTGTGCCGGGAATCAATGAGGCGCCGCGCCAAGGGAGGAGCGGTTTGGCCTGACGAGCGCGGCGATGGCTAAAGCTGCTTTTTCAAGCCAGGAAGGGGGGCCGCGGGGGAGGGAGGGGGGGGAATATGCAGCTGTGTGAAAAGAACTGAGATGTGAATCAGTGTGAGATGAGCTATGAGGGCATCCTCGCTGTTTGTTTCATAATCGCTTCATTAGCCCTGATCACCACAGGGACTGTTTCGCTTTGTATTTTGTTCTTCTATTCTTCTGCTTTGCGTTCTTCTGGTTGAGAAAATGCTCCTGTTTTCGTGTGTTGGGCAAATTGTGCCATCTTCTAGAGGACTCTCGAAACACCTGCTGGGTGGGTTCCAATATGAATGTGACCAAAGCAACTTAGCTTCAAAGACGTCGCACAGCGAGTGATGTCGGCCAAGGTTCCCGCTGAAGGACAGGCTCGTTACGTAGTCGCCACACACGGCCCCTTCAGTTCGCATCGCCACGACTGGAGGCCGCAGTTGGACTCTTATCAGCATCTATGGGCCGGTTTCCTCCTGCTGTCAGAACATACGCTGCTGACCTCGGGGTGGGATTGACTCTTTCGGGGGCGAAGAGACGACCACGGACACCTAAGCAGATCGCAGAACGAACGTGTGCCTTGAATTTCATGTCTAAGTGAAGAAAATCTCTTAAACCCCCCCAGTGGAATCCAATGAACCTACATGCTGAAGTAGATTTACAGTTTTAATTGTCTGTCTTTTTTAATGAAAGTATATTTTCTGGTGCAAGCAGGTCACTTTTAAGGCACATTGTTACATGTTACAAAAGCAGGGTATTGATGAATGATGAGTGACCCCTGCTGGTTCAAAGCGACACTGCAGCAAAAGGATAAAAACGTGATTTTGCTGTTTGCTTTTATCGAGGGTATGTCTGCAATTTTGATACCAACATTTCATCATGTGTCATATACTTCTCTGAGTACACGGCTTGAGCAGGCGGTTTCTGTTGTATTCTCAGTGCCTCCTGCGAACAGCGCCGTTGACAGGAAGTCAGGCACGCACCCTTTGCACACGGGCCTGATCCTCGGCATCCTCCTGGTGATTCTCGTCATGGTCGCCGGCGTGCTGGTCACTGTGTACATCTACCATCACCCGACCTCCGCGGCCAGCCTCTTCCTCATTGAGGTGAGTGCCGACGACCCCCCGCAGAGGAAACTGTTCTTTGAGAGGTTTATTCTTGACCTTAGAGAGGTAAAGTAAACAGAAGGTAATCTCACCACAGGGCCCGTTTCTTTTAGCAGTTCTGGATCTTTATAGATCAGCAGGTCTTACTCGATAGAAAGTGTACAAGAAGTGTTCTGGAAAATAAACGTTTAAATATTTACAACTGCGTGACAACGAGGCAAATTCATCTGAGGAAGATCGGGAGAAAGCTCCAACAGAGCGAATTGAATAAGAAAATATCCATATAATTTATGGACCTGTAGGATGATAATAGGTAGTTCAGAAAAAAATCCTCTTTTTTTTGCTTTTTTTTTTTAATTTATTTTTAAACATATTGTGTTGCCTGACTAACAGACTCTCAGTACAATTTATTATATTCAGGATTTGACTGCACCCTAAACAGAAAAGATTTATTACGTGAGGAATGTGTACAAATTGCTTTTAGTTTAGTCATTTTTCACATTCAACATTTTCACAACAGCAAGAAAAGCTACAAACAACATTCACTCAGCTTCTCATCCTTCAACTCCTAACTTGTAACGGTACACAGTCCTTAATAAATCAACGTGAATATACGGAGCATTAGTGCTGTTTGGAGAGAAACATCTTCTAAATCGCTGTCGTCCCACACGTCCCCCCACCCCCCCACCCCCCGTGCAGAGACGCCCGAGCAGGTGGCCCGCCATGAAGTTCCGCCGCGGGTCGGGACACCCGGCCTACGCAGAGGTGGAGCCAGTGGGCCACGAGAAGGACGGCTTCATCGAGTCCGAGCAGTGCTGAGGGAGAGGAGGGGGCGTCCGCATCACAACCCCATCACCCCCCACCCTCTACCCCCCCCCTACCCCCCCCCCCCCACCACCACCACCACCACCCCCCACACTCCTGAGCCGGACCTCCTACCAGGGACTCCTCCCCAGGAAACCTGCAGGATGAGCGCGCACACTGACCCGTTGAGACGATAACAGGAAGTGAGGAAAAACGCTGAAAACTGATCCCAGCTCAGCTCATTGTTCGGATCCCGTCGGCAGAGACCTGAGCCACTGGGGACGGAGAGGGGGTGGGACGGGGGACAGCATCGAATCGGGTGCTCTCACGTTGCCATGGATACTGGTGTGGTTGAGTGGGGAAGGGGATTATACAATATATATTTTCAGAAACAGAGAGTTCCACTTTATTGTTGGTGGGGTTTTACTGTGTAGGCCTTTGTATATCCATCAGGTTTTTACTTCTTTGCCATTTTTTTTCCTTTCAGCGCGTTGTTCTCACAGGCGCTGGCACATCTGTATCCGTACAGGCCGTCCGTATTGCTTTTCCACGCCACAGCGGGCTTAATTGACTTTTCCACTGGCCGCTCCGGCAAACAAGAGACGCTGCGGCCCGAGTGACGTGACGCCGGCTGAAGTCCCGCCGCCGCGATCGATCGCAGCTGCTGCGTTGGATTAGTTTGTGGGGGTTCGCTCGTTCTCATTTACTGGAAATGGAGTGTGAGACGGTTTTTTGTTCACTGAGGTAAGTGTGTGTGTGTGTGTGTGTGTGTTTTCTGAATAGGTGACGGGCAAACACTATTGTTCTTATTCTTTTGATCGGTTCATTGGTTGACTCTTTACATAATGAAGCCCCTTTAATCTAAGTTGTTTCATTTTTGACATTACTGCCGTGACATTTTTTCCTTGACTTCGGTTTGCACTTTTTTTTCTTTCTTTGGACACGTGGTACTAATGCAAATTTACAAGACAGGCGCTTGTGAGTGTGCATGCTGAATATATTTCCTATTTCCTGTAATTGATTCAGTGTGTGTGTGTGTGTGTGACTGCAGTTTACATATGTGATCTGCTTTATAGGTGCATATATTTGAGCTGGCTCTGCACAGGTGATTCTTATTGATTTGAATCTAAAGGCATGTGGATATTGTTTGTGTGAGACTGGTATGCTTGGAGTTTTCCTTGATTTTCACTGTGCGGTTTCCTTTTCTAGTTGCCAGCATAACCGTAGGCTAGTCTGTGTTAAGTTATGGTCGACTCATCCGCGTCAAACCATTCTTGTATATACCAAACATTTGCAATTCAGGTAACTCAAACATTTGTAGGGTAGCAGTGTAGTACACAGGAAAAAAAGTACTTTTTATTTTTTATGAGTGGCCTTTATTTCTCTACTTTTTTACTTAAATGTGAATACCGTTCAATCATTACTGTCACCAATCAAAATCCAAACATTCACTTTTATATAGTATCTCAAGACAAAATCATGCTTTCGCACCAATGATTATAAACTGAATTAAGATCAGCATCCTGGAATTCTACTGAAAAATAAAACGTGCAATAACACACCCATCCAGTGTGACACCGTAAATACAAACAATTAACAATCAGTTTATCTCATTTAAATTCCCACCTTGTCCTCATCACATTGAGACCAAAGACAGAACAGAATCATGCCTTCGAGTGTTTACCTCCACGTCCCGACCTCCTCCGCAACCACACAACCACCCACACGCCCTCATCACAGCTGAGCCGTACTGATTAGTGTTGTTGTCGCTGCCATTTACAAAAGAACAATGATTCTGCACACTGCAGACAGCCCTCTAAACCCCGCCCCCTAAATCTGATTGTCCAATTGTAGCTCAGCAACCTGCGCCTACACATTTAAGCTTGCCTTGAGATTAAGTTAACTCCAGTTAAATTAAACTGGAGTAGCGACATTAATTAGGGGGCGTGGTTTAGGCAACCACTGGTGTATTTCATCTCTCGACACGCTCACCCAAAGATGCACACGGGATTCATGCACAAATACCAAATCAAGGACTGACGGGTTGTTTGTCCTTAACAACCACTCTGAGATACAACGAGGTCTCATTGGTATTGACTGCAGAGTTCAAACTCCATCCAAAAAGCCCTTTTATGGCTCCTCGTAACTTATTTCATCATCGGCGTTTAAAAAGCAGACATTTAAACAGGCTTCTTCATGCATACACACCCTTCCTCTAATGTTGGTCAAATGAACCCCCGCGGAGAAAAGTCCCTTTCAAGCGCTTGGCACATCTGCTACACACCCTGAATATGATTGTAAAACCGCGGATTAGGAGCCGTATCTCGGCCCAGCGAGCTTCAAACTTCAGACAGTTTTTTTCGTCGCTCCGCTTGTTCGAGCAGCAGCTGCAGTAAGATAAATACTCAAAACACATGAGCAAGCGTGAGTGAAATTGATGGTATTTGTGTGTTCGTCGCCTCTGCCTGTGTTCACAGTTACACCTGTTTTATATGCACTGTCGAAATGCATTCTGGGAAAGCTTGTTTGGCTTTGACATGTCTACGCAAAAGCCTAAACGGCCTAAATGCAATCGGTTGAATTGCCACTTTCCTAACTATGTTATTTTAGATGGCGAGCGGCGTTGAGATATGTATGAATCTCTGACAGATCCGGAGCTAAATATGAACAAACAAGAACTGTGACCTTGTTTTATCTCATCATGACTCCAAATCACACGCTATCATTGCTCCCCGTCTGCAGTTTCTGTAACTACTGTTGTTTTGATTACATTTGAAATAATAAACAATGTTGTTGAAAACAAAGACATCCTCTGAATATTGCTGCTGGAGTCTGCAAAAGTTGCCGTGTGTAGTTTCTTGTTTTTTTTATTTTGAGTGTATATTCAGCTGTATTTCCACAGCAAATAAATTCATTACGACCACTTCCATGGTTCCATTAATCCGTATTAGTCTGAATATGCATTCAAATAACTGTGAGGCAACTGAAATGCGTTGTTCTACCATCATAATGCATACCAAAAAATTAAAATAAAATCTCCTGTTTTGACTGTCGCTAATCATTGTGCAAGTCCATCACTTCATGTCCGCCCCAGAATCCAGTAGCATTATTTTATATTTGATATCATCTATATTTAGGATTTGGTGTATGTGAAAGTTTTTAGGCCATTTGCTGGGTTTAGGTTTAAAAGTATTCAATTCATTTAAATTTGCAAAAAAAAGTATGTGTCCACAACAATAAATGACCAATGTTGACGAATATGTATTGTGATAGAAAAATATATATTTTTTGGGCTATTGGCTTGTTGGACAGGAGACACAGATGTTCCTTCATCAGGATTCAAAATATCTCAGACATACAAGGAATTTGATTGGTGCATAACATCAGACAGTAAGACAATGGACCACAAGACAGATAAGACAACAAAGTGCAAGAGGAATTAAATAATAATAATTCAAATAAAGGTTATTAATAAATAGCCATGCACGTGTAGACGTGCAACATCATCGTCTTTGGCAGGTTGAATTTCTTTAGCTGCTAAGCCTTCTTGGTGATGGAGCTGATGTTCAGCTCCCACTTGAGGTCCCGGTGGTTTTGGCTGCACCGAGTCACCAGATGGTCAGACTCCCGCCTGAAGGCGGACTCCTTCCCACCACGTAACTTTGCTACCCACTACTGATTTGCCCCGTGATTGCTTCGCCTATCCTCAGATCAAGGCCCACTGTTACAGACCGCGCAGTAGCACTTCCATAACGTTAACATGATAAGTCAAGGACAGAGTCAGGGAGTAATGAAGTGTGCAACATTAAGAACAGTGCTGTACATTTCCACCTCTAACAAGGTGTTAATGGCTGTGGCGCCCAGCCATTACGTTCCTCTAGGCCAGGTTGATTTGTATATTTTAGACAAGGTCATGACTCCCTCTGAGAATCCCTCTGCTGCTGCTGTCAACATGTGTCAAGTCACTGAGACGTGATGTTCTACCGCCATCTGGTGGTCAAGGCACAGAACAAGCTGTGGCTCTAGCTCTGTAAATGTGAGGATTTACTGCTTTTTGTCATGCATGATAAAAACATTTGCTGTTGGCTCATAAAACACGACCTCAGAAATAATACATTGGCCCTGGGAAATTAAGATGCTTACTATCCACCTGCAATGAAGAAAATAAGTAAGTTGAAGCCTTATTGAGCGTTGTAGCGGTCTCTTCCATTCAAGCCAGTAGCTTTATTAGCTTTAAAGTTTATCGCCTGCAACTACAGCCGAGGTAACGCTCTTATTAACGCTTTTAATGAATGAACCGCAAAGTTAAATCAAAATACAGATTTATTTGTGCTTAAAAGAACATCAGATCATTTCTAAGGATAGGGAGGGCCAATAAGACATAGAAAAACAATAGTAATAAGACACATGTTTCAGGGCTACAGATGATACAGAAAAAGACATTGACTGTGTTACCTTCATTCATTCCTAAAGAGTAACTTCAGTAACACGTGCTGGACTTTGACAGTAACTCGATCCAAAACATTGCTACAAAGGTGGGTTATATTTTAGGTCGAGTGCTCAATAACAGTTTTCATACACGTCTGATCTTATTTTGTGTTTTGACTAATGTATATTGTATTATGCAATCGTACTGTTTTCTGACTGGTGGATTAGCGGCTCCATGTCGCTTTGAAATAATGTTAATTATCAAACCTGTTATCAAATCCATAATGCCCCACATCTGTAGCAGCGTTTAAGTGCTTATTTAAGGCGTGTTTTTGTCAGACCTGTGACTAAAATGACCAAATCATTTAACAGTGATACTGAGTTTAGGCACTGGTGTACAACAGGTCAGCAGCGAGCCGCTGTCCTGTGTCACATTTCAGTATCACACTAAATGTCAACAGACGCGTTGCTATTTGTGCACACGATGGGAGACAGTCTCATCCGAGTACACAGCTTTGGATGTCGTCTTTTACACACATCAATGCAAAAGACTTGGAACACCACCTGATTCCTCTGGCGAGCCGTCACGGTGACCTATAAACAACCGTCACAGGAGGGTCTGTCCAGGGCAGCTGATCCCATTATAGTACACAGCGACAGTTTCAGATTCTTGCATTCTGCTTGTGTCGCCTCGCTGACGTCACCGGTTCTCCACCAAGCCGGGTGTCGTACCCGGAAAGAGAAATTTAACACCAGCAGTGTTCGGTCGCCCTTTGAGGTTCGTCCTTTTTCCAGCCTGTTTACACCTCTAACGTGACCTCGGGCGGTCAGACGGGTGCTCTGTTGCACCTGTAATCACAGCCAACAGTGATGTCGTACGGGCCTGGACCCTGAACATCACCGTGGCGAGGCGGCTTCGTGGCGAGTGACAGAATGCCGGGCGCATGCTAACAGTCATTTTACCTGTCGATTCAAGAAATAAAGAGTATAGTTTCCTGAAGCCCAAAAAACGATGACTTGCAATAGCTACCAAGTCCAAGCAACACTATGAAACCCAAAGATATCAACTATTTACTTAATATTAATGTTTAATATTTCCCTTTCTAAATTTTTAAAATTAGTCAAACTACCAATCAATAATTTATATAGTTTCAGATTTTTCTTTCAGTTAATAAACTCGTGTTTGCAGCTCCTCATTGCAACGCATTCTTTCCTTAAATATGTCCCTCTGCCACAGTAACACAAACATATCGTTTTAAGGGAAACGATCACTGCTTTTAAGGCAACACACAAAATCAATAACGTCGAGTTCATAACTGTGCTCTAACAGAGTAACAAACGTCGCAGCGCGACAAAAGCAATTTACAGTTTGGTCACAAAAAAATGGGAATCACTGAAAAAAAGCGATTCCCCTCAACAGTCATTAAGGGAATATTAGTAACAGCTTAGTAGTGCAGTTCTGCCGTTAACATGAGACTGAGGAGTGCACACGTCGGGTTCGGGTTTGGTGACGGCCACAGCTTGTGCCGCCTCGCTTTGGGTCCAATCAAACCCCTCCCGTCACACAACCCTCTAGACATTTTACCAACAACGTCTTCAAAACCGAAGAAACAACTTCAACAGGTCAGTGTACACTTTTGACAGTGCAGAAGAAAAACAAAGAAAAGTGTGTTTATGTGGTTAAGGCCTGTGGTATCGTCACAGTGAGAATCCTAAAGAACGAACACGACTAAAATACACAGTAACATGTCTGATTCAACAAATAAATAGGTCGCACTGGCTTATACATTCACGGAAGTGTGTCAGTCACCCCTTTCCTTCTCTTGGTTGAGATGGTCCATCAGCCAAGAGGGTTCTTCTAATCTACAATAAAAACAGCATTATTAGAAAGGCTCGGTTACATGAATACAAACTCAATTCACGCTGTTTTAGAGGTATAAAATATATAAAAATAGATAAACACATAACATGTTCAGGCTCCGGTTGGACTTTGTTAGAAGCCCCAAATATGTGTGCATCACTCACTGGAAAGCGGCTCCACCTCCGTGGTTTTGGACAAACTGAGCACAGACTTCTGTTTGGGTCGAGCCCCCAGCTCCCGTCCCTCTCTAGATGGATTCGCGTTGTCGTCCAGGGTTTTCTTCTCCACCTCCTCCGGGTTGTAGTAGCCCCCCTCCTCTGCCACTACCTTCTCCACTTTCTCCAGCAAACGCCCCACTTGGGGATCCTCCCCGAATATGCTGTTATTAATGACAAAGTACCTTCGCTTGCACTTTTCCAGCACCCACTGCAGCTCCTTGCCCTCCCTGTGAATGTACCTCTTGATGGAAATGGTCTTCAACACCTCGGCCCAGGTGAAGACCACAATGGTGTGCTTCCACACACGCTGGCCAAAGAGGCTCACGTGCTCCTCGATGCGAGCGCGATCCACCTCCGTGAACATGCCCACGGGGATGACGAGCAGGAAGGCGTGCGGGCCCGGGGGGCAAAGAGAGGCTCCCCTCACCAACTCCTCCTTGTAGGAAGGGGGCGTATCCTGGGCCGAGAACCAGCCCGGAGTGTCCACCACGGTCACCTGCCGCTCCTGCACCTCCGTCTGTCTCTTCACGCAGAACTCGGCGGCCCGCTCCAGGTGAAACTCCTCTCGGCCTATGATGGTGTTTCCGGTCAGGCTCTTCCCGGGCCACCTCCAGCCCAGCACCACCAGGCGGACTTCCGGCAGGCGGGGAGCCGCCTCGGCTGCCGGTGCTGCCGCCCTCCTGGTCTTCTCTTCTGGTCCACGAGCATCCCGGTCTGTGGCACGTTACATGGATATATTTCAGTGTCAATAAAGGTTACGACTGTCTTGTCAGTAGTCTATGAACATACAAAGTATTTTTTGTTATCAAAAATGTTTTTGCTATCAAAAAGAAGACCGGAAGCCGGAACGTAGCTTTCCAATCACGTAACGTTTATGACGCCTACGACTATGACGCACTAAAAGACAATACAGGCAATCAACTTAACGTTACTAACAGCGTAATAAGACACGGAAGTAGGTGCAATATTTATTTCTTCGTCGTGAGATAAAAACGGGTTACGTGTCACAATCCGGTTTATGAGGTGATGTTCGGCGTACTAACAGTTTGCTAACTTGGCGCTAATTTTAATAGCCACAACACATTTGAAAACTGACGCCAACATTTAGTTAACTTCTCAACAATAAAGTAACTGGCTCACCTTCCGTGTGAAGTGCTTTACTCGGCTCCATACTTTGTCTTGATCCTGGTTGAGGTTTTATTCAGGTATTATTTGTCTTTCGGAGGCTAGTTGGCCGGACTGAACACTTCCTTATACCTGCTGACAAAAGTCTGACGCGAACCGGAGCGCAAAGGCGTTTCCGTCCGTTACATCTTTCAGAATAAAAGCCTAACGGATGTGAAATAACAAAACTAAACGTGGAATTTAACAATTACACTATATGAAGTGAACTGAAACACCAAGTATCTAAAGTACTATACTGAACCAACTATACTCGGATATATGAATGTTTAAATACACATCAACCCATATGTGTAGGTATCATTTGTGAGACAAATATAATCTGAAGTCTATGTAAATAAATATTAGAAATAAAATAAGAGAATATAGGATACTGATTTATTATTGAATGTCTAATTAAGTAATCAAGAAAAAAATATATTTACAGGATTAATACTAATCAGACTTTATTTACAGCCAGCACAGTTAGGCTTTCTCTTCTATTTTAGTTGAAAACATCACGTCATATCCATGTATTTCTTCATTAGTGCTATGAAAGATGTGCATTATGTACATGCAAAGTAAGAAGGATCAATGTAAAGACAGGGAGATATAGTTTGTTGATTTCCACACTTCTTGATGGATATGACCTGTGCAGTGACATGACAAGTCGACAGGCAGAAAGCTTATTTTTAAAACAGTAGATGCTCTTCATTTTCCCGAATAAAAAAAACAAAACGTATTATCTTGAGAGATAAATCTGGCAGAGTACATTACGGCTGATTTAATGTACTTAAGTTGCCCATGATTCCAGCATACGCATGTCGTCTTCATCTTCAACCCTTTTCTTGGTTGCTGCAAAAAGAAAGAAACAGTTAATAAGTGTGCGATTTAATTCTTATGGAACATTAATCAGGGTAAGCCTGCAACTAAATATTAATATAGGCATCCATTTCCCCCGTCGATTTGTTTTGAAAATAAAGAGCTCAACGTCATCACGTAATGCTTGTGTAGTATCTCGACTGCAGTATTTAGACGTCCAATACAGTGTTGCATTTACTTGCGCGCTGAGCGGGTTTCGCTGAAGGCAGCTTGGAGCTGGGCACGCTGGGGAGTCCACCCATACTCTTCATATTGTTCTCCAACTCCTCCTGTTCCAGCTCTGCCAGCTCTGCCAGCAGCTCATCCTAAGAAAACACACAACACAGGTGTGTTGTCATGTGCATTTTTGTAATACAAGAAATAGTTTAGGAGGCGTCATACTGAAATGCATATTTAAAAATATACGTTCAAAACAAAGTGGAGGATGGATACAATGGTAAAAAGTAAAAGTAAAAATATATCTACATCGTCGAATGCCTCGCCGAAGGGTCCGGAGATTGCCTCGCTGATTTCTCGGGCCACGTCCTGTTGCTCTGTGATGTCCTGCATCAGATCATCTATCTTGCCAATGTCCCTGAAAATAAGAGAAGATGGAGATAAAAAGGGTTTGGATTGCACAGGATTATCTACCCTGTATATGTATTAATAATTCACCCAATGCGATTTTGATGTGATTTGATTTTTTGGGGGGATAATCTAATCTCCATTCTAACGGACGGTCTTACATGTTGTCGTGGACCTTCTTCATGGCGCTGGCGGCAAAGCCCATGTTCTTCAGGACCTCTGTGTTGGTGTGAGAGTTCTCCAGAGCTTCTCTCTGAAACTCGATGGTGGAGAGCGTGCCATCAATCTGCGTGAGCTGCTGCTCCAAGCGCTTCTTCCTCTTCAGGGCCTGCAGGGCAGCTAATAAAGACCCACGCTACCGTTCATTGTCGTGATTTGACACCTTTGCTCTCCTATCAGCTATTTTGCACAGAACGGTCTAATCTGGTCCCGTGACCTCATACAATGGATAACAATGTTCTACTCCCTTTGTCTACTGAGGGAAAAAAAACGTTTGTGCACCCGGAGATGAACTTATAGTCTAATAATAATATCTAATTCATTTTAGGTCATAGGTCACGTCAGTTGTTACAAACCTGTTATACTTAAACTAAAAAAATGTCCTGTGGGTTAATTGTCGTTCTGGGCGGTATGTGTGGCCTTGAGCTTTGGGTACTTCGTTGTTTTTAACCCTTTGTTGATACAGTAACACATTCCATTGGCAAAGGTTCGCAATAGTCGCTCAATAACCAGCGCGCATAATAAAAGGCAAATAAAAACAGGCGCACGGATATTCTCGGATTCGGATAAATCCTACCTCGCTTGTTTTTCGTGCCATTCTTCTTGGCTATCATTAGTTCCTGCTCTATCTTCTTCTCCAGGTAGTCTTGTTTCTTCGTCAACATTTCTTCCGTTTCCCGGAGTTTGTGAATGGCCTCTTGGGCCGAAGGTCCTCCCCGCGACCGGTGGTGTTTGGATGAGCTCGACGAGCCGGAGCTCCCCTTGAATAACTTTGCGATTTTGCTCATTTTTCTTTTTTTCTCGGCAGCTTTTGCTGTAAACCGCGCGGAGGTAGCTGAGGTGTTCGCTCCGCCAGGTTCAGTGTTCCTGCTTCACAATGTTTTCACGGGCGTGTGTGTGTGTGTGACGAGCAGACTTTCCAGCTCGACGGCTTTTCGCTTTCAATTCAAACCAGCCAGTGAACGCACCTTTCGCCGCACCTTTCATCATTACCTGAGTGACGTCACGTTAGTGACACCCGACACCTTCCACTTTTTTTTTTACACCGAGCTGTTAGTTTTCAATTTAAATAAAAAACGAACCACCATTTAATCAAAAGTTAACCACACATATCAACTAATTTATTTCAATGAGGAAACTAAATTACAACTTTCTTTTAAAATAATGGGGAAAAAAAGCCTGCGTCACGTGGTTTCACTGCCGGGTTCATAGTTCGTGTTGACACCCGCAGACTCCCGGCGACGTAATGGCTGAAATAGACATTGGGAAGCATTGCCAGATCGATTCTTGCTGTCAGAAAGGTCCGTGTCATCGCCTACAGAATACCAAAAAGAAAAGATGTTGACCTGTGGCATTCTTCTGCCATATGCGTTGTTAGGAAACACACCGAGCGATTCTTTAGCTTTGTTAGCCTGTCGGCTAGCTAGCTAGCTAGCTGGCTTCACTATTACATAGCTCGCTACTGTAGCCATCCAGCTAGCACCAGGGTAAATCGTTATAACCATGGTCGGACATCAATCCCCGGTTATTATACAAAATAAAAATGGATGTATATAAGACTATTTGTTACAAAGCAGTTGTGTTTGTCTCTCTGCAAAGTTACGCAGCACTAGTATTATACTCACACCCCACCACCAATATCTTCTGCTCAATAGGTAAATTAGTCTAACTTATTTTTTTGTCACCTTGGACTTCATATAGATTTCCTTCCATTTGTCTGTGACCTGTGCAGTGGGGTTTTCTGGTAAGATTTCACCAAATCCCAGTGGAAAGCGAGGTGCCAATTTAGAGGAAGAACTTTACTCTGGTCTAAAGTGATGAATTCTGTATTTCAGATTGTAAAAAAAGTATGACTTGCCTAAATACTTTTATATATTGGTCATAATTATTTAACAGTCCAATGCAAACCACGCATATCCAACAGATTTGTTTATTTAATCTGTAAAATGAGTTCTGTTTGTTTCTTACAGCCTTGAGCACAGAAGCAGAGAGGCCCATTCATGTTCAGAGGTGCACTGCGTCTTTTGATTACATATTCCTAATAATATTATTTGATAGATTATCAAAGGAACATTTTGTTTAGTTACTTTGGTACTAGCTGGGTTGTTCTCATATTTCCTGTTGCTTCTTCCAGGAGCCAGTTAAAAGGGTATCCCAGAATACTGTGGGGAGCAGCACAAGTTTCCCGTGCTCATTTCAAGACTGCACGGGAAAAGAACTGTTGCCAGTGATTTGTTCGCAGTGCGGAAAACATTTCTGTTTGGCGTGAGTTTACAGTTAATTCCCCTTTTCCTGATCCTCTTTTCATGTAAAACAAAATAACTGATGATGATCTGTGCAGGGCACATGCAGAGGAAAAGTCACGGGAAATGGTTTAATACAATATATCACTATTTTATGAATGCTTTTATAATGAAGTTCCATTTTTCTCTTGTTCTACTTACAGCCATCGTCATCAAGATGATCACAAGTGTGAGAAGTTGGAAGTCCAAAAGCCTCGGATGGCCGCCACCAAAGAGTTGGTGCAAAAGATTGTTGGTTAGTTACAACGCAGTACGTCACCGGTGGTTTCCATGACGACAAGGTTTCCTCTGTGGTTCCTTAATTGTCCACATGGGATCAGTATTAAACGCACCGCTCTCGTCTTTGCAACAACTAATGCACATCTGCTTGTATTCTTCAACCTACTGACGTTTGAATTGTGTTTGTATTACTCTCTTTGGGATACTCAGAGTCCAAGGACATATCTAAGAGTAAAGGACGCAAGGGAGCAAAGAACAGTGCAACTGCAGCTAAGGTAGCATTAATGAAACTGAAGCTGCATGCTGCAGGAGACAAGGCGCTGCCACAGGTACAATCCTATTCTATGAATTAATAGCAGTGTGATAATAACTTTTCATATTAATATTATCCTCAATTTAACCCCTATGTGTTATTTGGCGTTGATTACTTTATCCAACTGAGTAGTACTTTTTTTTGGCTTTCCAGACAGAGCGAACCTATTTTCAGGTTTATCTTCCTAAAGAGTCCAAAGACTCCAGCCAACCCATGTTCTTCTGTTCCAAATGGAGTGTGGGGAAAGTGGTGGATTATGCTGCCTCGTTAGCTGGCCTCAAGAACAACAACAATGTTCTGACAGCTAAGGTAAAACATCAGTCAGTTATCTGGTCTGTTTCCCTCGTTTCTTAGGTTCCCATTTCACGTCTTCTCTATAGCTTCCACTTAAAATATGATCAAAAAGACGATTTTCAACACCAAAGCTCAAAAAGAGTTCCGTCCTTGACTACACACAGATCATGTAGGACATATACTATATGCACTGCTGGTGTGGGCAGCATGAGAAGAAGTCATGTTTTCTTCCATGTGTAATTCATTTAAAAGAAATACTTATGATAACATTCATGAAAAAAGAAGCAAAGAACAGTACATATGTATGTAATAAAACAGCATTGCTCTCTCCTCTCGTAGAAGCTGCGGTTATGTCACCCTCAGACAGGTGAGGCTTTCCGGATGGACGACGCGCTGCTCTCGCTGCTGGCTCACCAGGTTTCTCCCCTGTACAACGGGGGTAATGTGATCTTAGAATACCTGGACAACGAGGGCTCGGGCCTCGAGAATGTTACTGACTACATCACACAGACATGACAATGCAAATGGGTTGTAGTTGGTTTTATCTGTATTGTTTTAGTATTTCTGTCAATAAATTCTATTTACTACAAGTTTGGATAACTTTCATTGGATAACTTTTGCAAGCAACGTACGTACAGATATAAAAGAAGTTTGTTATTCAAAACAATGTTTAAGGGACTTTAAATGATGCTTATCGACCCAGGTGGGTCGACACAGACATGACAATGCAAATGGGTTGTAGTTGGTTTTATCTGTATTGATTTAGTTTTTCTCTCAATAAATTGTATTTACTACAAGTTTGGATAACTTTCATTGGATAAGCAACTTACATACTCGTTTAAAAGAATGTTTAGGGGACATTCACAATTGCTTATCGACCCAGGTGGGACTTGAACCCACAATCCCCAGCTCCGGAGGCTGATGCCTTATCCATTAGGCCACTGGGCCGTTGATGTATCCTCCATTATTCTCTAATTAGAACATATATCGGTTACCCCTCTATCGGTTAACTCATACTGCTTGAAAAACACTGCTTGATTAAACATAGTTTAAATCCACCAACACATTTTGTGAAAATTGGTTGATTGCAATATGTTTTACAATACAATAATCGAAGTAAGACATTACATTTGCACATGCAAACAACACATGCAAATGATTTGATATCAGTACAAACACAATACATATTTCATATTTGTGTGCAAAGACGATAGTGGACGATATAATAATAAAAAGTATATAGATCCAGATCCAGTCGAGGAAATATATATGACGTGTTTTATGCAGAAATATGCTGAATTTGCTATTCCTGCTTCAGCTGATGCGTTGCGATAAACAGTCAAGACATTTGACACAGTTCTAGTCTGAGAATTGACCGAGCAAGATTCAACCAATCACATTCGTTGTCTTCGGAATGAGCAACCAATCATGAGGGGGCATTTGTAAAAGTAGGCGTTGATATTACCCAGGCGTATATATACGAAAAGGGGCTCGGTTGCCATACAGTGGATCCCGTTGTTTTCATGAGAGTAGTTGTGTTGTTGACATAATCAACGATTTGAAGAAAAAAAAAACTCGACCCGTTACGCTGAAGTATTGGGATTAGGGAGCTCGTCAGTTGCTTCTACTCTGATCGAGTCGCTTGAATAAAAAAGGCGACTTGATTTAGCCAGCACGAGCCTCTTTGTGAAATCAGGGCGAAAGGGATGCCGCTGCAGACGGACTCCGACGGACGCCAACAGCCTTTGGATTTAATCTCATCGCATTTAATCGGGAAGAGCAGTTTCTCTATAAATTTAAAAGGCCTCAGAATAACGCATCCTCGACCGAGTGCTTTTGTAAAATGCTTAAACTCGACTGCGAATTAATAGCGCGGCTGTGAAGTGAAGTGACGGGAAGCGGTAGCACAGTTAGCGCGCTAACGGCCAGCTAGCGTTAGCTGTTCGTCAACAAAGCGGGGCTCGCTAATCTCTTTGCGTCACAGCGGGACCGTTTGTGTGAAGAAGAAGAGGAAGAAGAGTTTCCACGGGTTTAACTTGTTTAACACCCACTGCATTCTGCCCGTGTGCTGAAACACAATTCTCGGTGAGTTTCCTTTTTGCCGTAACGTCGAAGAACTGAACCAGGAAGACGATTTGTCAACTTGTATCGAGCAGGGTGGGGGAGGGGCGGTGGCGCTATGACCTATGCGCGTGACCTCTAGGGGGCGCACACATATTTATCATTAAATGGACATCTGTTTCATGTTGATATATTTTTGTTTACTGGCGTGGACATCTGCGTTGTTAGGAGTCACCTGTGCATGGCAACCATTACCACGGTACCGTTAAAATATAATTTTTATATACGCACGCGGGTGCAAATGCACAAGTTGGTGCGTACACGTTTGCTCACTGCTGTTGACTCTATGCGACGGTTGACTAACTTTATGCTCTTTTTTTAAATTTATTTTTTAGACCGAACACAATGAAACTGTTGGAAAGCTCCAGCTTTGAAGCCCTCGGGTCTCGGCTGTGTGTTGAAACCGGGGAGTCTCGCATTCTTGGCAGGTAAGGACAGCAATCCATAATGTACCCATGTAATAAACAAACAGAAAATGTGTTGTCTGTGGGTTATAAAACATGTAATATATATATTGTATAATAAACATGTCATTTAGCTGACTTATCCAAAGCGACTTACAATAAGTGCACTTCAACCATAAGGATACAAACTCAGAAGAACAAGAAAGCTGATTATTGAAGTACAATTTAAGTGCTACAATTATTTAGTCACGGTCTAATTTAGGTCTACAAGCGCCCACTACAAATTCAAGTAGGATATTTGGACTTTTAAATATTATTTTGACACCCACTTGTTTGCATCACCCCAAAACAAGAGCCCCTGCAGTCAACCTTGACTGAAGTTTTCCATACACATTAGAAAACAATGTCTGCAGTGATGTCATGCACCACGGCTGAAGCGTGTGGGGGGGGGGCACGCGTTTACAGCCTGCGCGGTAAGTTAATAGATAGCCAGTGGTGCCCCTTTACGACATGCGGGTTATCTAAGGCCTTGGCCGCTGGGTGGTGGAGTTATGCAGCGCGGGGCTTTCTGTGTGGGCGGCGAGACCGAGCCTCTGTGCCGGCTGCAGATGCACCGACATGGTGTCCGCTCGCACCGCTCCGTGGCTATTTGGAGACTGTTGTGAAGGGTGTCGTTGGGGGACACATGAAGACGTTCGATGACACCGCATCGCAGCTGACAGAGCTGCTGGTGTTGACGGTTGCTTGGTGGATTACCGAGGCAGCAGGAGTCACAAGCTGCAGGATTTATCTAAAAATGTAACCACACTTCCAGGAGATGAACATTTTTTTATTTATTTTTTATGATTTTGAATCAAAAACAACCCAGCTGGTGTTTGGTGCTGAAATATAACATAACAGTGTCCACTAATCACTAAATACAGATGTTAACGCTGAGGTCTAAAATAACCATCAGTCACTCCCCTTTGGCGGCAGGTCAGCTGTGTCGTGGGTGGAAAACCGCGGCAGTTGTTGCCACCGTGGTATGTGCTGCCACCCCAAATGTCCCTATAATTAAGCTGGCAAGGCCAGTGAGGGTCTTTCGTTGCATAACCCCCCCCCCCTCTTGCGTAACCCATAGGTGGGAGGAGGCAAAATAAACAACTGCACAACACACACACACACACACCAGTCGGCTCCACTTTCATATCTGTGTACGTTGGCGTCTGACACGTGAACATGCCTAAAGGAATCTTTTTGCCCAGACTTGTAGAGCTTTTTGAGCAAAAGGTTTTTATTTGCCCGCAAGGGGGAATGGTTTTATCATTTCAGTACCACATTAAAACTAAGGCTTTTTATTTTTTGACAGCGCACAGATGTATGGCAGACCACATTATTGTTGGTTTTCTATGATACTGCAGTATTATGTTTATAGTGCACCTGATTGGCCATGACTATTGTGCACTAGATGACTATTGTGCACTCTGTATTATTCATGTTGTTGTTGTTGTTTTTCCCCCTGCAGGATGGAGAGCTACTCCTGTAAGATGGCAGGCGACGATAAGCATATGTTCAAGCAGTTCTGCCAGGAGGGGGAGCCACATGTCCTGGAGGCCCTCTCTCCCCCTCAGTCCACCAGCGCCACCAGCCCTTCACAGTGAGTCCTGCAGTCCTCGATGGACACCGGAGCCGCTAATCGGCAGTCGCATCGGTTTATTCATTTCCATCTCTTTCTTCTTCTGTCCAGGCTGGGTAAGAGCAGCGAGGACGCGGAGAACCCCTTAAGTGACAAGTGTTGCAGGAAGACTCTTTTCTACCTCATCACCACGCTCAACGAGTCCTTCAGACCGGACTACGACTTCAGCGCGGCACGAGCCCACGAGTTCAGCCGGGAGCCCAGCCTCAACTGGGTCAGTGTGCTGCTCTGTGGCAGTCTCGGCCTTCTTTGGGGCGGCGGGGAGGTGTGACATGTTTTTTTTATTAAAAAGAATTCCCCGGACTACGACCTCTCTCCAGGTGGCGAATGCGGTGAACAGCAGCCTGTTCTCGGCCGTGGGAGAGGAGTTCAACTCTCTGGGGCCGGAGCTGTGGAACGCCATCGACCAGGAGATCAACCTGCAGGGCTGTGACATCTACAGGTGGGCGTGTGCATGAGCACAAACGGGCACGGGGGGTGGGGGGGGGGGGGGGCGGGCAGATCCCTCTGTTTGTCCATTTCTAATCTCACGTTTTGGGTTCTTAGCTACAACCCTGATCTGGACTCTGACCCTTTTGGCGAAGAGGGGAGCCTGTGGTCCTTCAACTACTTCTTCTACAACAAGAAGCTGAAGAGGATCGTGTTCTTCACATGTCGCTCCGTCAGGTCAGCAGCCGCAGCACACTGATCGCAGAGGACTAAATGTAGGATCACAATATACACATGACGCAATTAGTAGTTTATAGAATTCAGCACGTTGGGTCAAAGCATTTAACAGATGAAAGTGTTGGAAGTAGGGGTGCACCGATCGGATATCTGACTAAATAGCTAGATCGGGGATCGGGAAAAATGAACCGATCCACGGGCCGATCCACGTTTTCTTTTTTTTTCTCCTCGTCTCAGCCGGACCTACGTCATTCGTCAGCTTCACGTGCGTCGCGCATGCTAAAAGCTACATGGAGCGAGCCACAGAGAGTCGGCTGTGTGGAGATATTTACCGCTTGCCACGCCAACTAGTTTGTTGGCTGTTTGCATTGTGTGCAAACTAAATGTTTCAAGGGGAGGTGGTATCACGGCAAGGTACAATACTACCAATTTAATCAAGCACATCCAGAAACATCATGCTAAGGAGCACGCTGAATTCCTGCAGCTCAGCAAAAAAAAAAAAGAGCAGACAATACAGCCCAGCAAACTTTGAAGGATGCATTTCAAAGACGCGAAAAGTTTCCGAAGGAAAACTTTAAAGCTTCGGCAATTACACAGAAGGTTGTCGAATTCATTGTTTTAGATGCTCAACCAATGTCAGTTGTTGAAGATGAGGGCTTCCTTGTCGCTTTTGAGTTTAACGGTACACTGGTTGGACTCGAGCTGTACACCACACGGTGCAATGCAACACACCAGCGATATCGGATCGGTATCGGGTATCGACAGATCCACAAAGCCCAGCGATCGGTATCGGGACTGAAAAAGTCGGATCGGTGCACCCCTAGTTGGAAGTACTGACTTATTGAAGCTGTACACCCGTTTCCACGAGATTACAGAGGTTTAATCCAACAAAAGTAGTGCGCTCATCTGAGGGTGTTAAGATATTTCCTACCCGCAGCGTCTTGAGTGGCTACGGCCGCGATTGTCTGGACAATGAGCTGGACATGGAGCTGGATGACGAGGAGGAAATGGACGGCTTCACCGAGGACAGGTTGGATTATTGATTATTATTTCCATGGAGGCGATGATTCACTAGTGGTACAGATTGCTGGTGACAATGCAGTTCTTCTGTGATGGAAGACGCTATTAATTTATGATTTCCTCTCCCCTCAGGGCCCCCAGAGCTCTGTGCGTGTGAATCTCGCCGACGGACGCCTCGGCCAATGAGCATCTGAGCGTTTCATCCTCCTCGTATTTGTGTTTTTCACCCATCGTACTTTTAAAAAAAAAATTTGCTGCCTCATCCAAAAGTCATTTCACGCTTTAGACCAACGCATGTTTGAAGCCTTCTCTTCTTCTGATTTGTATTTTGTGACGCTTTGTTCCAAGCCCATACAGCACACACAAACAAATACACACACACAAGCTCCTCTACACCTGCCACGTTTCCAAAGAGACCCTTCACGGACACTTTTGTGGAAGGTCTTCCAAAGGATGAGTGGCCAACAAAGACTGCAGGCGAGCGGAGTTTCTTTCAAATGAGAAACCACCAGCAAGGGAAACAGACAGTTTAAGATTGCTGGTGTTCCTACCTGAGAAGGGGCTGGGCTGTTTCCATGGAAACCTAGTTAAGATGGACGGACTGACTGCCAGCGGAGAAGTCATCTGTTGGTTCAGTTTGCTATTTGTGTGTTTGTTGCTTTTGGTTTTTACGTGTGACAGTGATGTAACTGTGAACCCTCTTTTTGAGCACTGAGTTTTAATCTGAAAAATGCTGCATTTGTAACTGAAACTTGTTATTGAATCATATTAATACGACAGCTCATCTGTACTTTAGACCGTAGGGCAAGAAGACTAGCCACCTTGGTTGTAGCCTAGACAAGTTTTGATAAACGTCACATTGTTGTTTCACTTACTATACAGTTCTATTAATTTTATGCCGTCTAAATTGAGTATTTTTTCACTCTGTTTAATCCCTCTCTAAACCTGTGTTGTCAGTGTTTCTATTTGCTTATTACCTCAGTGCAAAGGCTTCTTTGAAAAACGAATGTATAATACAATTTAGATGAGAAAATATTACAGAAAATTGGTTTAATGTACTTATTTTTGTAGATATTAAGCTCCTTTTACGTTACTTACAAGTGGTTAGGAGTCTTCTTGACTACTCTGTGCTTGATTTATTTGGCAAATACATTGCAGATGAGAATAAACTGTTTGAATCCTTCTTTGCTTGGATCTCTTAACTATATAATCTGAATTGTTTTAACATACTATGTTATGTTGTTGAAGCAGGCATTATGAATTCATCTGTCTGAATCCATTCATTAAAAAGTGCAACTATCAAAGAATAGGAACAAAGACTACGGTAAAATGTCTTCTGCTGGTTCGTTCCTTTTGCCGTTTGATTGCAGTTGTAAACAAACCGGGTGTATTTAAATCACACCAAGCTTCAAATCTGCACTGGATCAATAAACAATGTAATTAAACGTCAATGACTTTTCTTTTATTGAAAACAAAAACAGACAGCACACTGAAACCAGTTTGCTTTGTGAGATCACAGTCCCTTGCCATAAAGTATAGAGACCCCCCCCCGACCCAGATGGACACCATCTTCACCCCCGTTCTGATTCAGACTCCATCAGTTGGTAGACCTGGTTTCCAAGTTCCTAATAGGGAAACAAAAGGTAATAAATCCCAGACCGACGCTCACAGCAACCCGGTGAAGGCCGAGTGCTGATAAACGTCTGACGAACAACAAGCTCCCCGTCGCCGTGCGGCCTCGCTTTGATGGCGGCTCATTCAGAGCCTTTTGTTTTAAAAGTACAAAATGTTCACAGGGAAACACGGGTCCAAATGGCTGCAGAGTTAATGAAACGTTCATATGAGGATGCAGAGGATCCGTCTGCAGAGCACCAACGGTCACATGTTAATACGCCGGAACAAAACAAGCACAAAAAAATTTAATGGAAATCATAATGCATATTTGTAAATGTTTATAATCCTGTTATCAAAGTGAGCGTTTAAAGTAAATGGCTAAAGGGTCAGCTTTGATTAAAAGTCTGCATGACAACCTTCCGGCTCAATTACAAAACAAGTAACAGGCTCAAAGTTAATAAGCGAGGGAGATGTATATTTGACCACATTTTAATACGGCACCTAGTGTTTCTAGTGTGACAGTTGACTGCCGACACCAAAGCTTATGAAACTGAAATCATGTGTAACATTAAATGAAAAAAACACAAAAAAAACGAGAACATTATTCCGAAAAGAACCTTGTGCCACCATTCCCATCAAAAAAAGGTTCTGAAATACTGCTTGTAATCCCTTTGCTCACCTTGTTAATGACCAAAGTTATATAGAGGCAATGAGAACACAAATAATAGCGCTGCACCAACGTGATGTTTGTGGCGTTCCCTTGATATGAGGCGACGCGGCATGATGTGTGTGCGTGTGTGTAGTGTAAATCACGCCCAGTGCAGCCCTGCTGTGTACACTGCTACTAATGCTCCTAGCTCGCTGAAATGACTCCTCCTCCACTGCTGTAAAAGGAACGTCCGGCAGCAGGTGACCAGGTCAGTCCGTTGGTTCTGCTCCATTCGGGAGAAGCACCAGCTCCACTCGGCTCAGCCTCGGGCCGTCTCCACGGGCCAAAGTCCCAGTTTATCATTAAAAATTCAAATTAAAAGTACAAATAAGCCAAGAAGCTGTTGTTGCCACTGGGTGGGTGGTGCAGGTAGTCAGGCTATTGGTGGCTGGGGGCGGGGCTATCTGAGGCCGGCCCTCGATGTCATCCACTCAAGGCCCTGGCATAGACTACACAAAACAAAGACGGGTCAGCAGATGAACAATGGACACACTTTGTACAGAAAACATAACTTCAAGGATGTTTGAGCGGATTTCATTTTTCTGCAAAGAACGTTTACGTTCTTCCTGTTTGTGCGGAGAAGAAATGTGCAGCGCTGAGGCTTCAAGCTCGGCTGGTGGTTGACCGGTTTAAGCAGTACTAAAAAACGTCTGTTGTATTGCACTAAACGGACACATTACTGTGCAATATGCCACATTTAACGTAGTTTTTTCCCTCAATTTTCTGGATTATTAATGTTAACAATGTGTCCTAACGTCATGGAGCCAAAAACAGAAGGCGTGTGATGCGATTCAAGCAAGGGGTCTTTAAATACCCATTGATGGGGTCAAGAAGGGGCTAACAGAGACAACAGCACACAGATGTCTCCCTAGTGACCATTCATTTATCCTCTAATTATTCTCTTCTCATTCTAATTTCGTGCACAAGCAACTTATAGAGGACAGAGAGTGCGACTCTCAGTCAGGTATCCTGATAGATGTTGATGAGATTCTAAGTCACTGAACAAATGAGACTCCTGCTCATTATCGACATCAATGGTCACATGGTGCTCACCCCTCTCCTGTGAGGGCACAGCAGGACTGTATGTGCCAGGGGTGGTCTTTGATGGAGCTCAGGGTGAGGTATTTGGAGATCTCTGCCGCGGACATACAGTCCTTCATATCCTGCTTGTTGGCGAATATCAACACAGCGGCTTTCCGCAGGTCCTGAGGGGAGAACGGAGAGAACAATGAAATCACAACGGTGCACTCTTCCACCGTTTGAAGCTCTGGACGTGGCACGCTGGAAGGCGCCCGCCTTGGTGGAAAACCGCAGTCCTTTAGAAAAACAGAGGGAGTGTAGTCTGCTTCCTTATGCTTATACAAGAGATGCGGGGTTACCTCATGAGCCAGCATCCTGTAGAGCTCCTCTTTAGAGATGACCAGCCGCTCTCTGTCCGTGCTGTCCACCACCAGAATGATGAACTGCACAGTGGGAGGAAAAACAAATAAACAAACCACAAACAAAGAACTCTCTCCAAAAAAAAAAAGAAGGCATTTACAGAAATGCAATTCGCCCCAACGGGTGAGCATTTCCGGGCCAAGGCCCCCACAATGACCGCTATGCCAAAAGCCCTGGTTTGAATGAGAAAGAGTGACCCCCGTTTCACAAAAGGTCGGAGGCCCTTTCGTGATGGTGGGGCGGCATTTGTAACCAAACAACTCCGCAAAAGGTTTCAACATTCAACAATACGCTGTCAGACATTACAGGAACACACATGGCGGCCGGAGATCCGCAGGAGTCCGTCTCGGTGGAGCGTAAGAGTGACCTTGCCATAGGAACAAACACATGGTTCCTATAGTAACCGCTCAAATACTTCTCTGCCATGAACCTCAAACTGCAAACAGTTATATTTTATTACTGTTAAAGTGTTTATTACTGTTAGTGTTGTCTGCTCCTGAAACGATGGTTGAAACCAGAAACAAAAATCGGTTTATTGATTCATCCTTTATATATATATATATATAAAGTTTTGTCATATATATGACCAAGAAAAGGAAAATCTTCCCCCGGAGAAGCTAAAAATGGTCGTTTTTGCTTGAAAAAAGAAGAAGTAAAAACTGAAAATGTATTAAAAATCTTTAATTACGCAATTAATTAAGTAGTTACAGAATAATATTTATTGTCCAATTGTTTCAGGTCTTTGGCAGAGACGTGTCAGAGAGCCGAGGAGTCAGGTCATGGGCGGGTTAAATCAACACTGCTGTCTCGCGTCGTGGCAGATGTTCCACCAAGAACATTTAATCCGCACGGAGAGCTCGTTTTAAAAAGACGCATCTGCCACGACTCTCCTCCTCCTCCTCCTCCTCCTCAAACTCTGCGGAGGCTGACCGTCGCTTTGCTTTTTAGTCGGGCCCCTTTGTGAAACGCTGACCTCTGACCTTGGGCGGCCCCTGCTGCCGCCTGTGCTCTGAACAAACACACCAGCTGCCACGCTCATGGAAAAAAGAAACGCAGCTGGACAATACGTCTGTTTCCCTCATCTGCTGGGCGGTAGTACGCCGTGTACACAATGTGTTCCATTCCTCACCTCCGTATTGGAGTAGTAGGTGTTCCAGGAGGACCTGAGAGACTCCTGTCCTCCAATATCCCACATCAGGAAGTGAGTGTTCTTCACCACTATTTCCTCCACGTTGCTTCCGATGGTGGGGGACGTGTGGACGACCTCGTTCATAAGACTTGATAAAAACACAATCACAGAGTGAGTTTTGGCTGGAGGAGGTCGGCCGAGTTAAAGGGAGTTCCCACTTGTAGATTTGACGCATAAAACTACTTACAATTGGTAGAGGATGGTGGTTTTTCCGGCATTATCGAGTCCAACAATTATCACCTTGTGCTCTGCAGAACAAACACAACACAAACTTGAAGAGGACATTGTGGAATTCTCCTCTCCGTCGGTGCCAATGAGTACGTCATCGAGTACATCTGGAGTTCGTCTATACAATGCATTCATGTTACGTCATTGCAGCCCATTCAAAATGCTACAGGCTAAACTTATCAAAAGATTACTTTAATACTAGACATCAAGTTTTACTGAAACTACAGGCACTTATTTCCATTCGTTAAAAACCTGCTAGAACAGTTTGCAACAGTGAAGGCGTTGAGGGCCACGAAGCAGACGGATTAAATGCAGAATCTGAGCTGACACTGGCGTGCAAAAATAGCTCGCTTTTAGTGTTTTGACTTTTCCGGCCTTCCGAGGGGTTTGGCAGAGGAGAAGGAAGGAAGTGCGGTCAGAGGGCTTGAAGTTGTGACAGTCTGTGTGTGCATTGTATTTGGAGTTGGAGGTCTTTTGCTTCCTTAATGAGGACGATCCAGACAAAACAACTAAGACCAATGGGGGGAATTTACCGTCATCAAAACTGGACTTGATAATAAATCTCCTTCGACATGCATACGAGTCTACCGAAAAGAAGCAACCACGATGTGAGGACCACGGACACGTAGCACAGTTTGTGTCGCTTTCCTTTAAAACGTATGAGGTGGCTGAGAACAAACTGATGATGGTTCACTTCAGTGGATTCATGAGAATTGCAATCTAAGCAGAACACTTAAGGAATACCTATTTCCAACAGTAATGTGCTTATTCTGCAAAAATGTCTGGGTCTTGTGCCACAACACGGAGCCCTTTAATGTGGTGACACGGCACCTCAGGCGCATGAGGCTGCAGCAAAAAAGGATCTGGAATAAAGTGAAGCAATAAAAACACAAGACTATTTAGGCGATCCAGTGGCCGTGCGATATACATGTAATTAACTTCTGCTCACTCAGTCCTCACCTATAATCTGCTCACAAAGTGAGTGCAACCTGACACCGGGGACAGAAAATAACACCTCAAAGCCCAAAAGCTATTCATCAGAGGAATATATACACACACACACAATATGTGATGACAACAAGGACAACTGGAGTAGAGCAGAATATAAAAATACTCAGCCTGCCACGGACACACAATCCTTTGTGTCATCAACTCTTAAGGGCAAACAAAACTCCCGTATAGGAATAAAACTACTGTGCAAACCGGTCAGATGCATCTCAGTGAGATTCAATTAAACAATCACTACGCAGTGTTAGCCAGCTAAGTTGTAGTAAAGTAGCGGGGACTCCTGAACGACGAGGCAACGTTACAGCTGCAGCAGGCGAACGCGGACTCACCGCTCAGTAAATAATGTTTGTTGACAAGCGGAGACAACGGGGGAACTACAGGAGCGGCGAGACGGGGAACTGTCGCTTAGATGGCCGTTTATTGACGCGCGAGCTGAACAAAAGACAGAGAGAGTCCTCGAGTCCAAACGAGATGTGGCACGATAATCTCCCCCCTCCTCCTCCTCCTCCCCCCACATGTGTTATTGTGGCTAACTGACTGCTGCTCACTTTAAGCTAACGGGCTAGCAAGTGTTATCCGCGGATCAGCGGCGCGCGCGGGTTAGTGAGCCGTTAACGGCTTCACCGACACCCACCTTGGTTACAGAAGAAGCTCCACAGTTTGGCGAATATGAGGCCCATTGTTCGGGTTAACGTCCTTTCTTCCGTCCGTCCGTCGATAGAGCGAGCACCGAGCCTCTCCGCTCCCGGGGTCCACACTCCACAACCCGCCGCGGTTTGCTAACGTTAGCTGGACGATCCCTCGTAGACGGAACACCTCACCGACCTTCTGGACGCCGACTCCATGCGGTCCGGTCACGCACTAAAACGGAGCTCAGAGGCTAAAACGACGTGCGGTGACTTGTCGAGCACGGTGCGGTTATCGTCGAAGCGTCCGGCGAACCGCGCGAGCCGCCGGGTGATGACTGCGGCACCGAGTTGACTCCGCTTCGCACGGCTTCTTCTGGCCGCTGGCTGCTGGTTGTGGTTCGGTGCGCTGAAAAAAAAAAAAGCAACCCCAGATCTTCGATTCTCGCCCGGTTACGTGATGACGTCACGGCGTGTTCACGTTGTCTTTTTGTCTTTCTTTTTTAAAATGACTCAAAGTTGTGGAAGTAACTGTGTGTGAGGTTGTTACCTCTGGACAACGTGTTGGAGGCTGCAATGGATCATGTGCGAAATAACACTTTTGATGGTGCAACAGGTTAAAACAACAGTGCAATTACACTTGTTATAACATGTTGCTGAAATGTGTTGTTAAAATTATTCAAAGTCACTTATAGTTTGAACTGTAAGCAATTATTAGCAAACACAGACAACAGGGTGCATTACTTTTTACATTTATGAATCGAACTACTGTCACGTGACATAGTTTGTGACGTATGCGGAAGTGTTTGGCAAAACAAACGAATACTCCTTGCACAGAGCGTGAGTAGTTTATATTATTAACATAGACTTTACGTTGCCCTCACAATTATATTTGACAATTAATTTAACTCACCACTCATTAACTACGAATGGGCGCATGTAGCGTTCAGATTCTACATAAACGTAAAGTGGTATAATTATAGGTTTGGGTTGATAGTGCATCACGTGCTCATATCTTTACCACAAATATCATATTTCACGTTTTTATATTTAATTCAGATAGTTCCAGTAGTGGTCATACAACTCACATCTCTCTTCTCTCCTCTTTTTCATTTTTGAATGAACTGATATTTTTCTTTGTGCAGATTGAAGAAATGTCTACTTTCCCAAGGATCTCACTGAAGCCTGAAGTTGCTGATCATCTCAGGAGTGTCTTCTTAAACAAGGAGGTAAGAACTTAAATGCGATTTTAATCATGATGAATAATGTGAATCATGAATACACCTTCCATAAAAAACAGATTTGCTCTCTCTCATTGGAAAAGAAAACACAGGAATGATGCCGGAACCTTAGATTTGAGATAAACTGACTTTGAATGTTCCAACAAAATGTTGGTTTAATGTTTAGACGCTATCGTTAAAATGCTTGTTTTATGGCCTGTTCGTACTTTGCTTTCACAAACTGGAAGGTTTATTAAAAATAGTGCAGTTCCATGTTGTTTGGGTTCTCATAATTGGAAGATGTTTGCGCTCAGGTGCTGGCTGCAGTCGGCCATCAGGTGGCGGAATCCCGTTTCCAGAAGCTGCTTACGTGTCTGTCTCACCCTCCTTCGCACACTTGTATTCGGGCGAGCACTCATCTTGCTCCCCTGGAGGAGATCCGACACAAGTTGGCAGAAGAGCTGGAAAAGGTGAGGACGAAAGAGGGAGGAAGGAAAGTGGCCGCGGCAGCAGTCAGTGGATTCCTGATCATTCAGTGCGATGTTGTTGTTGTTGTTGTTCTGAGCAGCAGATGTGCAGCTCATCCGCCGGGGAGGTTGCCGTTCAGATCGTTCCTCACCCGCGGATTCCAGACGTGCTGCTCCTTCCCGTCGACGGCCCGAGGTATGTGAGGAATGCTGGAGCCACGTCAGACCAATCCACTCTACGGAGAGAGAGAATAGAAGGAATAAAATACAGTAGCAGCACAATAATAATAATAATAATACGTCCAGTGGGGGTTAGTTCTCCACGCATGGCACCACGTGCTGTGTCTCCAGAACGCTGCCGCGGTACGAGGTTGTCCAGAGAGACGCAGACGTAAAATAGTGTGTCTTCCCTTCCGTCCCGTGTGCCTCAGACCCGTGAAGCAGCTCAGCTCAGAGGTGGTGGTCGGCGCTCAGTGCGGCAGCGCCGTGCTTCGAGGCGCCCACGTCTTCGCCCCGGGGATCGTGGCCAGCCCAAAGTGTGAGACCCTCGAGGGACAGATGCCGTTAAAGTCAACGGGAAACTCATATTTACGAACCGTGTCGATTTGTGCCCATCGAGCGTGAAAACCACCCGTGCGTTTGCTTAACCCTCAGACATGAAGGCAGGGGACGCCGTGTCCGTCCTCTCTGACTCGGAGGGGCGGTGCACCCGAGGAGCCACGAGCTTCCAGGGGAACCGAGTGTTTGTGGGAAACGGAGTCGCTCAAATGGACCGCTCGGCCATCTTCTGCACGGAAGAACCTGTCAAGTAAGGACAAGACATATTTTATTGTCTTCTTGGACCCCGTACAGGAGGATATTTCACATGGTTTAAGGACAAAGTACTTGCATATACTGCCACCAGCCAACAAGTAATCACCGTCATCATAATAGGTTAATATCATAATATTAATAAATAAATCAAACATAGTCACTGTCATCTATTATCTTAGAGGAGTAGGCGTTCGGATGGTGGAGCCACTTTACCAGAGTCCTTCCTTCGATGGAGTTCTGCCCGACATGGCATTCCTGCAGGTATTGATCTCATTAGAATATGTGAGTGAGCTACGATGATTATCAACGTCCTTAAAGTTTACGATAAGAAAGCAGAACAGAGGGATGCGCTGCTTTTCACGTTGTGCAGAACCTTCCCTCTGTAGTTGTGGGACACGTCCTCGGGCCCCGTCCTGGGGAACGGATCCTGGATATGTGCGCTGCCCCCGGAGGGAAGACCTGCCACATCGCTGTGCTCATGAGGGATCAGGTACAAGCTGCAGATGCAAGCTTCAAATTGTAACTGAATCCAACATTTTTTAAATGATTGATTAATTTCTGTACCTATACAGGATAATTGGATATTTATACGGTTTCTTAAGCCTTATTTGGTCTGTCTCACACAGGGCGAGGTTGTTGCTCTGGACAAGATCCGAAATAAGATTGGTCGAATCCGTCAAAATGCCCAAATGTTGCGCTTACGTTCGATCAAAGTTTATTGCTTTGACAGCACCCGAGCTGTGAGCAGCGACCCGACAGCGGGAGCCGAAGGTACGGGGCCACACGACGTACACAGACAAACCGATAACAATAACAATACGTGGAAATATTACTTGTGTTGTGTGTCACCAATTCCAGGACCTCCCTTCCCACCCGAGAGCTTTGACCGGGTCCTTCTGGACGCCCCGTGCAGTGGACTGGGACAGAGACCCAACATGTCCTGCACCTGGAGCCTCAAGGAGATCTGCTCCTACCAGCCGCTGCAGCGCAAGTTGTTCCAGGCTGTAAGTGTGACCGAACACAGAGGAGAGTAGCTCAGGTCGACCAGTAGATGGCGCTGTTGGATTTATATTACACCGCTGTCTTATTGGACCGGTTTCAATGGCGTTTTGGGGGTAAATTACAGGTCAAGATGATAGCTACTCAGTCAGTCCGTCATCTTCTCTATGAGAGGGGGGGGGTCCCGCATTTCATTCATCTCAATGACGTGTAGCCGCCACAGCGTTTGTCTCCTTGAGGTTATTCAGCACAAAGACAGATGAGGTGCCGGGAGAAGCGGCAACCTGCGGATTTAAAGTTGTCGCTGTGTTGCAGGCGGTGCGGCTGTTGAAGAAAGGCGGGGTTCTCGTGTACAGCACTTGCACGGTGACTCTATCAGAGAACGAGGAGCAGATAGCCTGGGCCCTCGAGACCTTCCCCTGCCTCATGCTTCAGCCTCAGGTAAAAAAAAACATCCCCAAAAAACACCGGACAGACTCACAAATACGGGGAGGGATGTTCGGAGACCTCACCAAAAACGCACGCTGTCGTCTGCAGGAGCCTCACATCGGGGCAGAGGGCATGCTGGGAGCCGGCCTGTCGCCCGAGCGGCTGCGCCTCCTCCAGAGGTTCAGTCCCGAGCTCACCTGGGACCAGACGGCGGCCCCCCTCCCCTGCAGAGCCGACGGGGACACCATCGGCTTTTTCATCGCCAAGTTCCTGAAAAACTGAGCTGCAGGGCATCTTTTCTCCCTGAGCAACCCCCCTCCACCAAACCCCCCCCCCTCTACGCACACCATGAGGGCAGAACAGTGTTTATGTTACAGCGCCGCGCGCGCTTCGACGGGGCGGCGCTCAGCGAGACGCTCGCTGCGTTGTTTACAGCATCTGCCTCTTAACAGCTGCTCTCTGGAACTGCGGGCCATGTAGGGATGAGTTTTATAAACACCATGGGCAGAGGGGGGGGGGTTGGCAAATGCAGCCAGCCTGCATCGCCATGACAACGATGACGACACAGCTGCCATGGTGGCGGCGGATTGGCCGGATGTGTCGGAGCAGGAAGCAGCGTGGAGGTGTGTTTTCGTACCTCCGTGACTTCTGCTGCTTGTAAGGGAGAGATGGTGCCGGGTGTAGTTCATCCACCTGGAGGACGTGGTGCATTTCTTCAGATTAAAATGTAAAGACCTTTTTCTTTTTGTACGTTATGTATTCAGCAACTGCAAATTCTATGATCACACTGATGAAACGTTGGTATGAGTGAAAATTAAATGACCCGTCACAAGGGCATTCATTGAGTGTCCTTTAAACCTGCGCAAGAGTTATAGATTTGTCCTCTGCTCAATCCCCTCTCCCCGGGAGTACCGTTACCCTCGTATACGTCCATCCACACACATCTGTCTGGGAACGCCAGCAGCTGCTGGTTAAAATGGCGGCTTGGTTTCTCTGCTGCACCAAAGGTAAACAATCCCGAGATCCAATCAGCTGCCCCTCTGTGAGCGCTGGTCTATTTTGGAGGCGTCTAGCGTGTGGAGAAGCTATTTTGGATGCATCCCATCAATCTTGTCGTTCGTGTGTGTCGACGTTGTCATGGCGACTCAGGAGGAAGGCCGAGGAGTCCGCCTCAATTTTTCAGCAGAGTTTGAGATGACTATTTATAGGCGGCGCTCTTCTCCTCTGTCTGGGTCTTCTAAAAAAAAAAAAAATCACAAATCAAATCATTCTCCATTCTCATCAGCGCTTTGTTCTGCCAACTTTATTCTTTATATTTATGCATCATGTACACACACATGTACACAGTTAGAAAATCTGTACTGCTACCAGCGTAGCATAGAAATGGAGTCTTCTGTAGTTACAATTGTCAGACGAAATCAAAGGAAGTGAAGGGACGCGGTGGGTTTGTAAACGGAGGGACATTCACGGTCAATTCTTTATTTTAAGTATCGTGAATTTGAAAAGTTTAAAGTTGATCCAACGTCAGGGACTCCTGAAATAGAATGTGGTCTGGTAAACATTTTGGAATTGTTTGAGTTGCAAATGCATCTTTTTACTATTATTATTGAGTAACATACTTAAGATAACCCGAGAAGAACAACCTTCAAACTCTGGAGTTCAAGTAGAAATAAAACAACATTCATCAGAAAAAGGGGGTCAGACTTAATAAAAGATGAACCTTGATGGCGTTTTAATTGAAGACCTACAGAAAAGTAGCAATGTCATATCGAATGTCACTTGAAGCCAACGTGAATCAGTAAAAGTGCAGATTTAAGTGTGTGTCAATGTTACAAAACGTTTCTGGACCAACACAAAGAGAACAGTACTGCATGTTGGAGAGGAAGTTATTGCCTTGGAAAGCAAGACTAAGGTGCACCTCGAGCGAGGCTTAAATATGTCCGAACCAAAAGGTCTAAAACCATGGACGCAGAATAAATAATAAAATAAGCCATAAATGAGGAACATTAAACTCAGGGAGTAGTCTGACTCATTGGGGAATACGCTTATTTTCTTTATGGCCAAGATTTAGATGAGAAGATTGACTTTGAATCTTTCTTTTTCAATTTGACCCTGCAGCTAGCGTTAGCAGCGAGTTAGCTTAAAAGCAAAAGCTCTTTTGAGATTCAGTTTTGTGTGTGAGATTTAAAGTGTAAATCATTGAGCTTTAGATGCTGGGGGGCTTCATATCGGAGTGTTACTGATCTTCTCATCTAGACTCAGTTGGCATTTATTCAGGAACCGAAAACCGCTGCAGTTTAACCCCAAAAAATAGTCTTGTTCTTGTTTTTTAGACGAGCATCACTCATAAATGTGGACAGAATGATAAAAACACCTTCCAGTATAACAAGTACAGCAGAGTAGAATTCAACAGCACCACAAACCGCAGTTTCCAAAATGATGATGATAAAATTCAGGTTGATCAAAGTTGAACATCAGGACCGGTTTATTGCAGGACTCTTATCTTTAGGCTGCACTATTGGAGCTACGTGTACCCGATAAACTCTCAGCAGGACGTAAGCCTATTTCCCAAATTGACGAAACTACTCTTTTAAACAAAAATACAGCATCAAACTCACTTGGCGAGTCAACCTTTGCAGTCGAAACCGAGCAGTAGTCCAAAGGAACAAATCATTCAAGTGGTAGCAAGCAAAATGAGTAAAAACAATTAAAAAAAATGTAAATGCTAATCACAGAAAGCACAGAAAAAGAATTCTGCTTTTGTGTCATGCTTCATCAAACACAATAAAATATGCATATTTGAGAATATCCGTGCATATCCACACATAAACGACGTCTATGCATAGATACACACACGCGCGCACACACACACACACACACACATATATTTATATATTTATATTTTGTATCTACGTAATCAAAATCCTGCCATTGAAAAAGATGCAACAGCCTTTACAAAGGAAGTGTACATAAATAGGATGCTGTGGTTTGCGGGCGTAGCAGCAGGTCTTCAGAGGGGTCCGGTCCGGTCCGTCACTGGTGGATGTAGGAGTCTCTGGCCCATTCCCCCGCCTCGCCCCTCTTTTTGGGCGCCACCTCCCCCTCCCGGTCCCGGTCCCTGTCCCGGTCGTAGTAGTGGTGGTGGTGGTCGCGGGCCGGCCGGTGGTGGTGCGAGCGCTGCTTGTTCCGCTCGTTGTGGTCCTGCTCGCGCTCCTTAGAGCGGTGGTGTCCGGCAACGCCGCCGCCGCCGCCGCGGCCGGCCTCCTCCGCCCCGCCGCCGCCACCGCCGCCGCGGTGGTGGTGGTGGTGGTGGTGGTGGTTGTGGTCCCGGTGGGGCAGCGGCTCGTACCGCTGTTGCTGCTGGGGGTGCCCCTCCCCTATATCCTCATCCTCCTCCTCCTCTTCCACCTCCTCCACCTCCTCCAACTCCTCCCCCTGCTCCTGGTGGTGCAGCTGAGTGCGCGGCTCGTTATAAGCGGAGTCCTTGCTCTCTCGGCTCTCTCGGCTCTCGGGGGTCTCCGAGTCCAACGTCTCCTGCCGCGAGAGGCCCCGCCCCCGACTGTTGTGGTGGTGGTGATGGTGGTTCTGGTGCTCGGTCCTGGTGGAAGACGAACGGTGGTGGATGTGTGGCGCTCTCCTGGAGGCCTCGGTCCTCGGGGGCCGCTCCTCCTCCTCCTCCTCCTCCTCCTCGTCCTCCTCGCCCTCCCCCTCGGCCTCTGGGTCCGCCTGGTCCTGGTCCTGGTGGTGGTGGTGGTGGTGGTGGTGATGGTGCTGGTGATCCTCTCTGGAGCCCTTTCGCTCCACTAGTGCTTTGTCTCCTTTCTGCTCCGCGGTGCCGGCCTGCGGTCAGTAACACACGTCAGTCAGTCGGGCGACGGAAAGCAAAGAAATGCACTGCAAACGCACACAAACACAACTCATGCTGCAGATTAACACACACACACACACACACCAACACACTGCTTAAATATTCATCAACCACCAATTGAAGGTTGTTGAATCCTGGAGGACAAAAATCTTCAAGGTATTTTGTACTTTTTTTGCAGGACCGTCCTTATGGATTTGCGGCACCCGGAGTGTAAAAAGCCTTTTCGGGGGCCTCTGCTCACTCACCACACTAGTAATCACATGTCAAGCTCACTCCTGCTCCTCATCAATATCAGGGTTCTCCTCATTGTCAGTCTTACATTTCCCATTGTGATGGCAGTGGGTGGAGAGAGGGGGGTAGAGGTTAAGGTATTATCCGCCATTTACTCAGATATCTGAAAATCAATCCTGCACGACCAGCTTTAGTATCACGCCGTTACTGTGTGTCTCCCTGCCACTCGCTGCAGGTGTGGCTCTGTGTGGCCTTTGCTTTCGTACCTGCACGCCGGAGACCAGCGCTGGCCCGGGGGGCAGGGTGGCGGCGGGCAGAGAGGTCAGCAGTGGGTTGGGGGGGTTGCAGCTGGTGGGGTGGGTGCTTTTCCAGTAGGCCTCCAGGTAATCGGCCATGTGCTCACATGCATCCTCCAGCTGGTTCTCGTCCAGGATGATGTCAAACATCTCCTGGGGAGGGAGGGACGGGTTCAGACGGGCTCAAAGAAAGTGGTGCGGTGCAGCAGTGGAATTTCACAATAAAAGACTGACGCTAGGGGCCGTTTTAAAGACGCCTTTACGCTTATTTTTCTTCATCAAATATACACATACAAAATGTCCATTTAATAAAGCCCAGGGGACTAAATAGGAAATAGCAATCGGCATTCCTTCTGAGAACATCTGAAACAGTGATTCCCTAAAGATATGGATGCTATTTGGATTAAATTAAGCCCCTATTCTCAGAAGCCCGGGGTGCTTGCTTCATTTTTACAAAATAATAACTAAGCAGATTACTGAAGAGCAGAAATAGAACTGGCACGAATTATAAAGCTTAAAAGAAAAAAAGGACTTCAGACACGTATGAAACTTAAGACAGAACCATCTCTAAAGGACCAAACTGCGGGTCGCTTTGAACACGGGAGCGTGCGTGTGTGTGTGTGTGTAGTTCTGGCGGCGTTACAGAGACTTACAGGAGGGCACTGAGCCAGCTTGTCAGCGGCCACCATCTGGACATTGAGGTGTTTGGCCTGCGACTTTCCTCTGGACTTGATGAGCCGCTGCAGCACCTGAGGGCGAACAAGGCGACGGCGTCGTGCCGGTTTTGTTAAGACAAAAACGCGATTTAGGCTTTGAGCAATGTTCGAGTTAACAAAAGCCTCTTTAAGAAAGAAGTGAAAGCTGGTACGGGGTTCATCGAGTGTTGTATCGTTTGCTTGAACTCTGCTTCGGTTTTAGATTTCTGCTACTAGATTTCAGATGAGGGTTTTCCATAAAAGAACAGAATAGGATTGTCTTTTGAATACCAAATCATTGATAAATATTAATCCATTCCAGTTAGAGACATTTTCTCAGATGCTTTTCTATTTAACTAAAGTTGCCCCCCTACATTGTCCAGTATTTCATAAGTTTACATCCAGAAATGATCATTCCATGAGTTTTAATCCTTAAATCCGGATGGACGTCTAGTACAAATGTAAAGAAATGAAAGTATTTCAACATTGCTGCATTAGTACTTTTACTTACTTTTCATCGCCACGGTTTATAAAGTTTCACCATAACTTGTAAAGGCACTTTGAGATCAGCTGTAAATGATCCAACAGCAGATTGTAATTCAGAGGACAGGTGGTGGAGAGCAGATCATCTCATCCCGCTGCGAGTGTGATTCACACCGACGCCGCTTTGATTCAAAGCTTCCTCTTCAGCAACGCTCCTCTCTCGCTCTCTACGTCAACCAAATGCGCAATTTCTATCTCGCGCTGATCACCGTATCGTGACCTTTTTTTCCTCTTTGGCGTTGAAAGTCAAACGGATGAATCGGTCCCCTCGAGCATCTGCTGCAATCACCACACTTCGATGAGAAGCTCAGCCGGATCAAACCGGTCGGTCCCCACTCACCTTGGGAGAGGTGATCTTGACGTAGACGATGATGGGCGCCAGCGACGTCTTCCCCAGCTGCGACGGGTGGTTGATGGTGTCGGCGTCCAGAACCACCAGCTGCAACGTCCGCGCCAGCTCGAAGATCCTCTCGATCTCACTCTGGACTTCAGCTGGACGAGAGAAGACGCAGCGGGCCGTCAATAAAGAGATTGTCTTATAAACAGGTCGCCTCTTATTGGGAACCAGAATCACTCTTTATTTCTCTTGTCTTTATTTGTCACGTCACGTCTTTACTGTAAAGTCCTTTGTGTCAATCGTTGAGCAAAGTGCTGCATCAACACCTCTTTACTTTCTGTCTGGTTGACTCATTTCTCTCCGTTGCGTAGAAACCTAAATATTCAAAGGACTTGGGGACTTTAGGGACCTGGCTCGGAGACACGTTTCGGGAGAGAGACGGCGAGCTATCGCCCGCTCGCCAACTGTTACATCACACGGCCTCCGCTCGGCTCCCCGACAGACGACGACGTGACGGCAGAAACTCGCCTACAAACATCGCAGCGGGGCGCGAGTCCCAAAGCGAGAGGAGCTTCACGACTTCCAGTCACGACAAAGCCTGAAGTGAGCCGATACGTTTACAACATTCCAACCCAACAGCGCGCTCTCATTTTTTTTTTTTCATGAAGTAACTGTACGCAAAATGGGGCGAGAAGCTTCCGCTTGTTTCCGAATCGAGCACGAATGAAGCATCAAGCATCAAGCGGATGTCACTTTGGATTTAAAACGTCCGTCTGCATCGGAAAAACCTCTGTTTGAATTTGATGAATGATTTCTTTGGGGGAAAGTGGAGATTTCAGGCCTCGATAGTGCACGACGAACCTCGATGAGCTCGTGGAAAACGGGGAAGCGGTAAAGTAGTTCGGTGACTGCGTATGAAAAAGTCCAGCACGATAAGACTTTTTCGCCTCTGGCATACAACTCACCTTGGATTTCTGACTGCGCGGCTGATGCTTATGTTGATAAAAGGCAAAGATTAAACAGAGGAATGTTTTTCGTCCTGATTACATCCGAACCCACATCGGCCTCGGTGGAATCGGAGCGCTTCCTGAACATGTTATGCTGCATTTATCTTTCATTCCCAACAAAAGAAAAGTGAGCGAGGCCTTTCCGGGGCCCGTCGGGAGCTGTCACCAGATTTCCCTTAATCGCTTCCTTCCTTTTCGCCACGAAAAACATTACGGATCAAAACGCTAAACGCTCCCAGGCGCCGCCGGTGTTTCTTTTTTTTTTTTTGTTAACGTACCCAGGTTGGAGCGGGTGTTGGAGCGCTCGATGATGGCGTGCTTGCTGGGATTGTTCAGGACCGAGCGCTTGGCCAGAGAGATGTCCGCCGTCACGCGAGTGATCGATATTCTGAAAGGAGGCGCACGAGAAGCAGCTGGTTCACTCGATGTCGGGGACAACAAAGTAACAAAGAGAAAATGAGAGAAGAGCAGCGGCTGGGAGTTAAAAAAAATGTATATAGATATCTTCTTTAAATGGAATAATAGTGATTCGATCATTCATGAATTCACAATCTGAATTGTCATATTGTCATATTGACTCACAAGAGTGTACAAAAGCCCGTCGTTATTTCATAAAGGCTATTGTTTTATTGCATTAGCACAAAACAGGCTGTCATCATACTTCATCTATTAATTGATCTTTATCAGTCTTCATGATTAAAACGGCGCCATTCACTTACATCACAGACATTTGTACGGTAAGTGTGATGGAAGACATCATTAGAAAAGGGGTTTAAAAAGTTTAGCTTTGTGTTCTCCAAAGGGGGTTTTCACGGCTGAATGTGGGAACGCACAGATTGCGTTGTCGCCCTTTGAACCCTGCGCGAGGAGGCGGACTCGGCAGCGGTCACTGCTGGCGAGTCCGAGTGGGTCCGAGCGTTGTGCACCTTCACGGCCGCCAGTGAGGAGAGTCTCTGCTCTGCTCGAGGGCCACTATGGCCTATTAAGGACATGGAGAGGGCCTATTTAAAGAGGCGGCACACATCTCCGGGCCAAACGCACTCCCTCGGCCAACCTCGGGGGACGGATGAATGCCGCTCCGTGGAGCCGGAGGGGGGAGGAATGAGGAAGGAAGCGGGAGGAGAAAAGGTCACGGCGAGCCTTCCTACCTTCCCTCGAATCGGTGTTTCAAAAAGTCAAACAGAGCTTTTTGCATCATGTCTGTCACCTGCGGAAAAAAAGCACATTACGGGAAAAGAGTTTGAAAAGGGGGGGAAGACAACATTTCTAACAAAACTGGGGATTCGGACGCACCTCGTAGCCCTTCAGCGACGGCCCCACCAACACCACGGGCCGCATGGAAGGCACCACATCGTACGGAGGAACGTGTTCCGCCTGAGGGGAGGACAAGAAGGAAAACAGTCGCAAACGTCTGTGGAGACAAAGTAAACACTCGCCATCCACAAATCACTCGAGGGGTTCGGAGCGACGCTGAGCGACGCCGCGATTAGAAGCGCCGGGGACGTCGCGAACCGTGAAATGGGAGAGAAACACCAGCATTGATCCGTGAAGCAGCTGGACGGGATGAGGAGAGCAAACTGTTGTTATCATCCTCCCGTTATCAATAAGCAGCTTACGGCGAAAACTGCAAAGTTTGATGGGGGGGATTACAATGTTGGGATGAATCCGCTCATTCCACGGTTCTGATGTCGTTATGTAAAAAGTAAAGCTATGTAACAACAAAGGTTAGTCGCTCAGTGAGAAAAGAGGCGCAGAAGATTGACAGAAGTGCCATTAGAAATGTGGAGCCAAAGCAACAAAGATTTTATATCAGGTAACACGACAATAGTCATATTTTCTGCTGGAGATTCCTTCCCCTTTTTGTTTGCATCATTTGTAACGGAACTTGATTGCGATTATTAATTGTTAGTGAACTGCGCGTCGCGTCTGAGCGAGGCCGTGACCCCTCGGCCCTCCCGGGCCTGCGCTGTGACACGGGTACGTTTCATGTTCACCCTTCTCTCCACCTCCGAGCGGTTTCCTCCGGCCCGACGTTTGCTGTCGTCAGTGCGCCTCCCTCGGGACCCCGTGGGAACCGACGCACAGTGCTGGTGACTAACATGAGGGTATTAATGGACGCCGCCGCTCGGCACAAACACTTAACCCGGCATCATGTGTGTTAGCGTCACTTAGTTTAAATCAAATTTACTTAATTGTTTTTTTGTTATATGCATTTGGCACATTGCAAATATATTGTGAAAAGGTAAATGGTTAATGTTGTGATTGCTATTTTCTATTGCAAATATCATGAGTTGCTTTCCTCTCTGATACAAACAAGAATGTACAGCTTTATAAACCTCTTTGTAGGCTTAAAACATAAAATGCAACCGTTGCTACTAGTAGTGGTTATTACAATGAATGGCGACGCCCACCAAAGATTAACTCATATTTTGATCGTTCCCAAAATGCTGTACTGTTCCTTTAAAAATCAGATCCGGTCCCGCCACCTAAAAAGCTGAATCCCAACACCAAACCCGACACAGAGGATTGCGGTGGGGGCCAGTGAGCGGGGTCAGAGGTCAGCGCACTTACCGACTTTTGCTTCTGCTTAGCTGCGGTGAGGCGAGGGAGGAGAAAGAGAGAGAGAGAGAGGTTAACGACAGGCACGGCATGCTGGGACCGACAAAGGCAGGACGGGCGACCGAGTGAGGCCAAGCGGGGCGTTTAGTCCAGAGGCGTGCGGGCGGACGGAAGCAGAGGGGCTCAGAGGGGGGGGGCGGTCCGCAGTTTACCTTCTTAAAGAAGGGCATTCGTTTCTCTTTGGCTAGAGGCGACATGACAGTGTTTGGACTGGCTTTGGTCGAGCGCAGGTTGACCGGAGGCTCATTGTCCTCGGGGTCTAAGTCTGTGGCGTCTATGTCAATGGCTACGGATGAGACCACCGTCACACAGGTTAACACAGGGGGGGGGGGGGTCACACAGTTATCGAATGCAAATGAAACATGTGAAAGTACAATTACTTAATACAAAATATGAAAAAACAAACGTGCATATTACTTTCAACTTGAATTCAACGGTTGATAATTGTTTTAAAAAGTGTTTTAAGTTGGAGTTTTGTCTGTGAAGACGCTCACCAGAGGAAGGAGGTGTGGATTTACGTGTGTTGGGAACCACTTCGCCTAAACTAGAGGAAGAGTTTGCCCCCAATTTACTGCAGAGAAAAAAAAAAGGAAAGTTGAAATTCAACCCTCCTACACTTCACGCGACCTCGGACGAGAGCTTCTTTTTCCTACCTGGAGTGGAACTTGCCCTGTTTGGCTCTCTGCTCCTGGAGGATTCGGGTGTTCTCCAGCTTCACCGGACTGGGGATGAAGCCGATCTCACAGCCCTCCTTCACCAGGCGTCCTATCCACCAGTCGTTGTTGAATTTCTACAGCCGAGAGGTGCACAACGTTAACGCGAGAAGCTTCCTCGCCGCGCTGAATGCCGTCTGCGGGGGAGGGAGGGGGGGGGGGGGGGGGGG